ATTTACTAAATTTGTTATAATTTTTTTTAGTAATCCTTCGTCCGTCTCTTAACAATTTATTCATTTTTTTATTTTGATCCGTCCCATAATAAATTATCTATTTTATTTTTTTTTAGTAATTATACCATTTACCTAACATTACAAATACCGTTCCAATTTACAATATATTACACAAATGTCATTATCTTTATATTATACAATACTAATGGGGTAATTTAGTCTTTTTACCTTTATTTTTATTTTATCATAATATTTTTAAAATTCTGTGCAAAAAGTAAATGAATATATAGATATGAGACGGAGAAAGTAGTTCGAAACTGTCTAGGCAACTCTAAATTTCATTTAGGCTAACTATTTTGGTTTAGAAAATTTTTAATTAAAAATTGTGTTGGAGTTTTAAATATATTTTAAATTATAATAATTCATTAATTGATATTGATTGATGATGTGATATAAATTTTCTTGATAGAGTTTCTCATTATCTCTAAATTTATATACTTTTATTTTTTTAACTATGATTCAAAAGTATATATATTTTTCTTTTATTATCTATCAATAACATTATAAATAATACTCCACTCGTTCCACATATCGTGTCTGTTATACTGTAGATACGGTATTTTAGTATAGATGTAATTAGTAGATAATTAAGAATGTATTAGTGAAAATAATTATCCTATAATATAAATAATTATAAATTAAGATTAAAATAACTAATTAATTTAATTAAAATTTAAACAAAAATTAAAAAGTTTAAAATGAGATTAAAGTGTGTAATTATTTTCTAAAAAAAGAAAGTGACATGGAATATGAGAAGGACAGAAACGACAACCTAAACATGGCACGTGGAACAGAGGGAATAATACTTTTATTTTTATATATTAATTTATAACCACATAATTACATACAATTTTTTTTAATAAACATAAAAATATCTTTATACAATTAAATATTATTAAAAATAATTAAATTACCAATATTTTTTAATTCAAAAATTAAATCATTACTTTAAAAATAGACCAATAAATTATTTGATAAAAAAAATTTAAAGAGTATTTTTCTATTATTTTTTTAATACGATTTTGAATTAATATCATAAATTTATGACTCGTACGTTATATTTTAAATCAAATTACTTATACTTAATATATACATCCTTAGTCCCAAATAAGGTGCAACATTTACTTTTGACACGGGTTTTTTGATGAGTAGTATTAAGTAGGATAATTTAGAAATTAAGTGACGTGATAATAAAGAGAGAAATATATATTTTATTAGTTTATTTAGATAATATGAGAGGATAAAGTGTGAGATAGAGATTAAGTATAATTAATTATTTCTATTTTGAAAATATCGCATGATATTTGGGACATGCCAAAAAAAAGTGTTGCAGGATGTTTGGGACTGAGAGAGTACTATACTAGTGCGTAATCGTATATATGCTATATACGAATTAATGATAAATTACTTTTTTATTACTTTATTTGTATATTAATTTTATATATTATGTCTTTTACCTAATATTATATATATATATATATATTCAAAAATATGTATACAATTATTAAGAATTTTTTCGTCCAATTTATTTTCGTGTGTCGTGATTTTTCATAAGTATTATAAATATATATATATAATACTATATATATTAATACAACTTATATAATATATATATTCTATTTACTTCGAAAAAGTTAATAATTCAATACAAAAAATTATTTTTATATAATTAATACGATTCTTTACATCTAGGGCGTGTTTGGCAAGCTGTTAGCTGATTCAATTAGCTGGTTTGACTAGCTGATTCGATTAGCGGTTTGTATTAACATGTTTGGTAAAACAACTGTTTGATATTAGCGATTTATACGTAAAATGACAATTGAGGATACTTCTATTTTATTCTTGTTTCTAATATATATTCAATTGTGTTCTTTTGAGTTTAGAATATTTAAAAAATTTTGTTATTAGTTATTGAAAATTGTAAAAGTGTTATAAAAGTATTTATTTTTATTACAGTTAGATTTAGAAAATTATATATTTTTATTAAAATATATAAATAGTTTTTTTTTATTGAAAATGATGTAAAATATAAAATAATAAATTTTTCGTGTATATATTTATTGTGTGAGTTATCGATTAGTTCATTATATTTATAATTTTCAATAAATTTAATTTATTTAATTTATTTTTAGTATAAAATTTATATAATGTAATTTTAATAAAAAAAATAAATTATTAATATTTATATTTTTTATTTTATGTTGATTTTAATAAATTTATATATTTTACAATTAAAATAATTTTTATGTAAATATTAATTATTTTAAATTTATAAAAGTAAAACTATAATATAATAAAATATTCTAATATAATTAATAAATAAACAAAATATATTTATTTGTGTAAAATGTATAATAAATTTTTAAGGGCATATAATGAATAAAAAAAATTTTACAGAAAAAACTATTTCAAAACGCTGGGTAAGTTAGCTTTTCAAAAAATAGTTTTTTTTGTCCAAAAAGCTATTCCAAAAAGTTAATTTACCAAATACCTAAATTAGCTTTTTGACTGGTCAAAAAACTAAAAGTTGTTCAATAAGCTATTTGCCAAACACCCCCTAATATAAAAATATATTTATTTAAAAATATACCATGAACACACCGTAAATGTTATTATTGTTACTAAAAAAAAGTTTATATAGTTATTTTTGTTGGTATTTTACATTATCTATACTAATATATATTTTGAAGAATAATTTGCATGATTTTTAAATAGTTATTGTCATTTGAAAAATAGTAAATATCGATACTATTTTGAAATGATAAAGTATACAATAATATTTATAAATATATTCAAATGCTTTATTCGTTTCAATAATGTGTATTTTGTCATTTTCATTTATTTTTACCATAATATGTAATTTTCATATTTCAATAATAGTGATTTCATACTAATACTAAAATATCATCAAATGATAACTATTTTTTAAATTTTTTTTATCTATGCTATTATAAAAATTTCCGAAGATAAAATATTATGAAAAAATGTAATGAACTAATTTGATGAATTGAAAAAGTGCTAGAAAAATATGATTTGTAGTTGTATTTTTTATAAAAAAAATTTATATTATAAATTTTGTTTAGTTGTGGTTTAAAATTATTTGAAATAAGATATTTATTTTAGTTTTTTTTAAATAATATTTTGATGTGATGTTTGTGAAAAAAATTATTATATATTTATTAAAACTGAGCAAAATTCATAATATTGATTTAAATTTGAAATACTAAAAGAACAACAGAGGTGATCACATGTTGAATGAAATATCGAGCACATGTGTTGAACCTCATTAAATTTAATTAATATATTTATATTAATAATAAAATTTAATTATATAAAATAAAATAAATAATTTATAGGTATGTTTATTTTACAGGATTGTTGAATTTTCTTTTTAATTTTTTTTTTATTTAAAGTATAAGAAATCCTATAAGAATAAAAAAAATAGTAAATATATTTATAAAATTAAATATAAATATATTCCAATAAATACACAAATAGACAAATTTTACTCACAATTTATTTTAATTTTTATAATTAATATTTTTTTAATTTCAATTAAATTATTTGGTTATATTAACTTTAATTTATAATTATTTACACTATATAATAATTATTTTTAACAATACATCTATTAATTATAGGTTATTTAGATTAATAATACTTTATTTAAATTTTTATATCTACCGTAAATTGAAAAAAGAAATTATAAAATAGAGAGAGTATCTACTTCTTTCTATATTTTTCCGTACATTTTTTCAAAAATATTAATACACTACAGTACATTTATTATTTTTATATCTTTACATAATTTTTAATACCTCAGGTCAAAACATTCATTTTCAACAATATATATATATATATATAAACACTTACATTTATATAATACTTCATCCGTCCTAAATAAGGTGTAACATTTGCTTTTAACACGGGTTTTTAAGTGGGTAGTATTAAGCAGCATAATTTTAGAAATTAGGTGATATGACGGAAAGAGAAATATATATTTTATTTTATTTATTTAGATGGTGTGGGGGATAAAGTGTAGAGTAGAGATTAAGTACAATTAATTATTTCCTATTCTTTCCGTCTCAGATACCATGTCCACATTGCCGTTTCTGTCCGTCCCATATACCATGTCACTTTCATTTTTTGGAAAATAATTACACACTTTAATCTCATTTTAAATTTTAAATTTTTATTTTTTTAAATTTTAATTAAACTAATTAGTTATCTTAATCTTAATTTATAATTATTTATATTATAGGATAATTATTTTCACTAATACATTCTTAATTATCTACTAATTACACCCCTACTAAAATACCGTGTCTACCGTGTAGCAGACATGGTATCTGGGACGGAGGGAGTATTTTGGAAATGTTGCAGGGTGTTTAGGACATGTCAAAAAGAAAATATTGCAGGGTGTTTGGGACAGGGGAGTATTATATTAATAAAAAAATATAATGTTATTTATATTGTTAATGAATGATCGTCTAAATGAGGTTTCATACACTATCGAAAGTTCCATACGTGTTTGTCGAAACAGACAGTCTCAACAGATCAGCCAAAAATTAATTAAAATTATCTTCCCCAACTTGATATATATCTTTTTATTATTTTTTTTTATTTAAAAAAAAATATTTTTCCCGTATGACGAAATTGATCTACTCACCAAATTAGAATTTTATTTATTTAATAATAATTAACAAATAGAGTATAAAATAAAATAAAAATATTAATTAATTTAATTATTTTTTATGATATAATTTACTCTCTCCTTCTTACCAAAATAATCCATTTTTATTTATAGTCGTCCTACAAACATTATTTTACTTTCCTAATATAATAATTTCCTAATATAGGAATAATTAATATTATAATTATAACAGTGTAATTCTTCTTCTTCCGTACGTGTATATATATATAACTCCATTACACATAACCTTCCTTCCTTGCAGCTGAGCTTCGGTTCACTCCGTTTGCCATTGACAATGGAGTCTTTCACTCTCTACGCTCAATTCTCGGTCCCCGCCATCGCCCACCAGTTCCACAACAAGACGATAATCACAGTCACCAAGCGCGCTCAATTTTCACGACCACGTTTTATGAGCTTTAGTTGCCGCCAAAATCCGATTTCAAAGGTCTCGGAGCTCCAACTATGGCGTTGAATTTTCCGTAATTTGATTTTTTTTTCTCATATTTGTGATCTGCGCAGGCCGTGAGGAGTTCAATGGGGAAGGACGCAGTCCTGGAAGGCGAGGAAGCTGCATTGCTGGTGAACACTTGCATCACGCGTAATTTGCCGCCTGTGTTGAGCTTGGAGCATGGATTGGAGAGGGTTAAGGAGGCTGTGGAGGAGCTGAAATCGAATCCTCCTCCTTCTTCGAGTGGAATGTACAGATTTCAGGTATGTAGGCTCTGAATTGAATTTCAATTGCTTGGATTTTCGTGGAGAATCATTCCCCCAATTTACCTGAATCTAGGGTTAGGTTTTGAGTTATACTGTTAATTCATCAGTTCGGCATTAGTGTAAGAGACCAACAGAGATTTTTGGATGCCTAGTTTTAAAGTTCTTATTTATATATGTTGATCATGTTGTGAAGTAATCCTTTCTGGTTTACGGAGATGGCCTAGCTTCGTTGGATTCTGAAACTGTATTGAATATTCATAATTGTGGTAAAATGACTCGTGGTGTTTTGGATTCTGAAACTGTATTTGAATCTTCTCCATTGTGGTAAAATGAGTCGAGGCTTTTTGGATTCTGAAATTGTATTTGAATCTTCTCCATTGTGGTAAAATGAATCGAGCTTTGTTGGATCCTGAAACTGTATTTGAATCTTCACCATTGTTGTAAGATGAATGGAGCTTTGTTGGATTCTGAAACTGTATTTTAACCTTCACCATTATTGTAAAGGAATCGAGCTTTATTGGATTCTGAAACTGTATTTGAATCTCACCATAGCTGTAAAAGAATTGAGTTTTGTCGGGTCGAACTTGTAGGTTGCAGTGCCTCCGAGTGCAAAGGCCTTGAATTGGTATTGCTGCCAGCCGGAGGCATCCGACATATTTCCTCTGTTTTTCTTGTCGAATGAGAAGGATAGTCCGTCGTTTAAGTCCCTTTCGTTGGGAAGAACCAGGGGAGTTTTCGGTATGGGATCCGCTGTTAACTTCAAGGGGTCATCTTCCGATGCTTCGGGAGAATTAAATTCACTCCAAAGGTATCCGAATCAATGCTGTTTCTGTGTTCCATTCCATTCGATTGTTTTTATGTGAATTTTGTGATTGTTCTTTTGCAGATTTCTACAGGCGGAATCAACATCTTCGAAGGCTTATGGTTTCACGGACGTCGAGTTTGATCCGAAGCTAACAACTATGAAGCATCGGAGAGGTTCGTTTCACCTTTTCATTCCCCAGGTGAGATACTCATTATTAATGTAGGATTTTGAGGTAAAGTTATGCTCGATTCAAGAATTGAATTATCGTTTTTTTCCTGTAGATTGAGCTGGATGAATTCGACGATATCACTTTCTTGATCGCCACCATTGCGTGGGATGACTCGTCATTGTGTAGCTTTTCTGAAGCAGTCCAAACATTCGAGCGCACTTTTGATCAGGTAATGTACTCAAAATCGAAGTTTATTCTGTGCCTCAATTGTTGCAGATATTCGACAACTTCATGTGAACTTGTTTGTCTTCCAGGCTAGATATTCCTGTGTCGATGGTAGCGAACTGATTCAATCTGCCCTTCTAAAGTCCAACAACACCGAAGAACACAAGCAAATGGTAAATACGAACTACCAGCTATTGAAGTAAAGAATTACTGCAGGATCATTTTCTTTTTCACATGTTTTCACCATTTTTCTTCGATGTTGTTCATAGGTACGTGTGAATTCTCTCCTACTCGAAGGGAAGCAACTCGACGCGAGATCCCTGGAAATGGTATTTTCTTCGATTCCGATTGTTTCTTAATATTCAGTATAATAAACTTGGTTGATTTCTTCTACTGCCCTATATTGCAACAGAGAGATGCTTCGTCTTGTTGCAGCCAGTTCTCCGCCAGGCTTTCACAGACTCTATCGATCGCAAATAACATGGTAAGGGAATTGGTTCGCAAGCAAATAACAGTTTTGTACGTTTTCTTTCGAGGGATCATTTTTTGTTTCGTTTATTTATTCTCCAGCATCAGAAAGACGAGATCAATCTAGCCAAGTATTTCACTCAAGATTGTCCCAACGTCAATGCTTTGTGGGCGTCTCTTATAGTCGAAGAATGTGTTCGTCTTGGCCTCACAGTGAGGCTACCTACCGCATACATTCTTGGCCCTGTTTCCCATTCGACTCTTCTAATTGTTTCATTTTTCAGTACTTTTGTGTCGCGCCAGGATCAAGATCATCTCCCTTGACAGTCGCTGCTGCTAGCCACCCGCGCACGACTTGTATTGCATGCATCGATGAACGATCCCTCGCATTTCACGCTCTTGGATACGCCAAAGGCTCTCAGAAGCCAGCAGTCGTTATAACCTCATCCGGCACAGCTGTTTCAAATCTTTTTCCAGCCGTAAGTCGTGATGAACTGCTTCGCATGTCGATTTTTAATCATTTCAGTTTCTCTAATAGTTTCTTAATATGCAGGTTGTGGAAGCCAGCCAAAATTTCGTTCCTATGCTTGTTCTTTCAGCTGATCGACCTCCCGACCTCGTTGATGTGGGCGCAAACCAAGCGATCAATCAGGCAAGTAATGGTGCAACATTTCGACAAGAGTTTTCTTTGCTTGTAGATTAACAATGGTTTTTACTTTCAGATCAATCATTTCGGAATATTCGCGCGGCACTTCTTCAGTCTACCTCCTCCAACCGACGAGGTTTCAGCAAGACTGGTTCTTACGACAATCGACTCAGCTGTGTTTAAAGCTATGTCTTCACCAAATGGTCCTATACATGTCAACTGCCCCTTCCGGGAACCACTGGCAAACAGTACGAAAAAGTGGAATCGTAGCTGTGTAAGCGGATTAGACGTTTGGTTGTCGAATGCTAAACCGTTTACCAGCTACGTCCCATTACAGAGCTCCTTTGAAAATGGCGATCTACAAGGGCAAATAGCCGAGGTTTTGAAGCTGGTACAAGGTGCGAAACACGGAGTACTAGTACTCGGTTCGATTCACAAAGAGGACGACATGTGGGCAGCGCTTCTGCTTGCAAAACATTTGCTGTGGCCGGTAGTTGTCGATATTCAATCAGGTTTGCGACTGAGGAAATACCTGTCATCGTTTCTTGATGAAAAGGATATACTGTTCGTAGATCAGATCGATCAGCTGCTGATGTCGGAGTCTTTCAGAAGTTGGATGAAGGCCGATGTGATCATACAGGTACATTCTATTCCTTACATCTTTTATACTATCCCGTAATCGAGAGACAGATAAAGCCATGCCTTCGCTCGAAAAACCAGATGGGAAGCCGGATAACAGGGAGGCGAATCGCTCAGATGATTGATCAGTGCACTCCTTGCACATACATTATGGTTGACGACCATCCCGGCCGTCATGATCCTTCGAACATCATGTCGCATAGAATCCATAGCAGCATCACTAAGTTCAGCGAGTTCTTGATTAAATCTTCTTCGCCGTATGCGTGCAAGAATTGGAGGGAATTCATTCGCGGATTGGACATGATGGTACGCTACGACGTTTACCTTTTTATTCTTCTACGTATTCGATATTAATTTTGTTTATAATTCCGGTATCTCTTAGGCTGCCTGGGAATCATCCTTCTTGATCAGCTCAGAGCAATCGCTGACCGAACCTTACGTTGCACGTAAACTCTCCGAAGCCATTCGCTGCGGATCTGCTGTATTTTTCGGAAACAGCATGCCAGTACGCGACTCGGACATGTATGCAAATAACTGGGTGCCATCGACGCACAGCGCGTCTCTGATGCACAGCGCGGGTTTATTGTGTCATTACGTGCAAGTCACCGGTAACCGAGGTGCCAGTGGCATTGACGGCTTGATAAGCACTGCAATCGGCTTCGCAGCTGGCTCGAACAAACGGGTATGTAGTTCCTTGTGTATAATTGGTAAATGCACTCCGAGTACTTATATGATGATCGGATTCTCTTCGATTTCCAGGTGCTGATGGTGCTGGGAGACGTTTCATTTTTGCACGATACCAACGGATTGTCTCTGCTCAGCCAACGGTATTGATTTTTTTCCGTTCTTTATACGTTTCGAGTCTTGTTTTGATCAAGTAGAGTTATACGTCGTCGATTTTTCCTCGTTGAAAGGACACGGCGCAAACCGATGGTCATCGTTGTCGTCAACAATCACGGCGGCGCAATCTTTAGCCAACTACCAGTTGCCAACATCACCGATAGAAGTATACTCGACAAGTTTTTCTATACGACTCATAATGTTTCGATCCGGAATCTTTGTGAGGCGCACGGGTAAGAACATCAGTTCACCTTAAACCTCTGTGTTTTAATTAGCAATTGAAGTCTTACAACTACTGTCCGTGCAGCGTGAAGCATATACATGTCCAGTCCAAAAATGACTTGCACGACGCACTGTTCGCGTCTCAGAGAGAAGATGTCGACTGCGTTGTGGAAGTCGAGAGTGGCATTGATACGAACGTCGAATTCCACAGGTAGTCCATCTCCCGGAAACTCTTTTTTTTTTGAAACGCTGTGCTATTGTTACCTTCTCCCTGTTATATCTTTCTTCAGCGACTTGAGGAGTTTTACGCTCCAAGCATCGAACAACGCTTTAACCATACTCTCCAAGCTTACAGCGTCGAATCCGACCTCTCAAGGCGAGATGCATTACGAAATCAGAAAAATGGAGTATTCGCAGTACAGGTAAACTTTCCCAGCCAGCCAAGAAATTGATGCTGTCGTTATTTCTTCGATAACAGTACCTTCTTTTTATTCGTCTTCTGACAGGGTTCGGCTAAATGCTGCGCCTACTTCGGCTTCTAGAAGGTCGAACGATACCCCTTCCTTTAGAGAAGGTTTTGTTATAAGTGTGTCTCTCGAAGATGGAAGTATCGGACATGGAGAGGTTAGTTTAAGCTTAATATTTCGGTGAAAAACATAAACCGTGTTTCTAACGTTAACGATCAAACAGGTTGCACCTCTCGAGATCCACGACGAGAATTTGCGCGACGTGGAAGAGCAGCTTCGGTTCCTCGTACATGCTATAGAAGGAACAAAGATCAGCAACATCCTTCCGTTGTTGAATGGCTCGATTTCGTCATGGATATGGAGTGTTTTAGGAATCCCGGTAAATCCTATTCGAACTTTATTCATGTTCTAGCTCAGCTAATTTGCGTCACTTTCGTTAACATTAACGTCTCCAACTCCCTGCAGCCCAATTCACTTTTCCCCAGCGTTCGATGTGGGCTCGAGACAGCGCTCCTCAGCGCACTCGCTAGCAAACACGGAACTAGTTTATTAAACATACTTAGTCCCGGGAAAGAAGATCCATCCGGGACATCGAATGCTGTTCAAATTTGTGCTCTTATCGACTCTTACGGCAGCCCAGCAGAAACAGCTTTCCTTGCGTCGACACTCGTTGCAGAGGGGTTTAACACCATAAAGATAAAAGTGGCGCGCAGAGACAATCCGGAGGAAGATATTGCCGTGATTAAAGAGGTGAGAAAGAGCGTCGGAGACGGCATTGTCCTTCGCGCAGACTCAAATAGGAAATGGACTTACCACGAAGCTGTTAAATTCGCCGATGGGGTTAAAGACTGTCGACTGCAGTATATCGAGGTACATTCCTATATATACGATCTTTTCTCCCTCGTATGTTTTTTATGTTCGCCGATATTCTTAGGAGCCGGTGAAAATGGAAGATGATATAGTGAAGTTCTGCTTAGAGACGGGCTTACCAGTGGCTTTGGATGAGACCGTAAACTCTATCCGAGAGAATCCTCTTCAGGCGCTCGAGAAATACAACCATTCGGGGATCGCTGCTGTCGTAAGCATTTCATAATCTCGGCGCGTCGTATAAACTCGTTTTCTCGATTCGTCGAACTCAATGCATTACGATCGTTTCAGGTTATAAAACCGGGTGTCGTTGGAGGCTTCGAGAATGCAACGATAATCGCGCGATGGGCTCAGCAGCGTGGGAAGATGACGGTTATAAGCGCCGCGTTTGAAAGTACGCTCGGTTTGTCTGCCTACATTCAGTTCGCTCGTTTTCTGGACATGCAAAGCGTCGAGATGCAGAATCTGGAGTCGAACGTAGCTCATGGATTCGGAACCTACAAGTGGTTCGACGAACAAACGACGAACGAGCCTCTGAACATTCGAAACAATCCAGCCCACAGCTCGGTCGAGGCAGACGCTACCGATGCTGGCAATTTTCTCCAGAAATATCGAGTAAATCCCGACGTGGTTGTTCGAGCCTCAGCTGATGAACAAGTGAACGAATATCAAGTCCCGGTCGACGTCGAAGGCGCCTCGTTTTCCATCAATGTGCTCGAGACGGGCGAAAGCCTCGACGTAAGTAACGTTAGCGTAATAAAATGTCGTCTCAAGCTCTTTCGATTGATTCAATATCGTAATTACAGGGAAGTGCGGTTGTGTTCCTCCACGGATTCCTCGGAAACAGTCGAGACTGGCTTCCCGTCATGAAGGCCGTCTCGGGATCCACTCGATGCATCGCCGTCGACCTCCCCGGCCACGGTCAATCGACATTGCGAAATCAGAATGGGAACGTCTCGGAGCAGCCGAATCTGAAGATCGAAACGATGACCGATATCTTGCGTCAAGTGTTGAACAATATTCCCGGGAAAGTTACGCTCGTCGGATACTCGATGGGAGCGAGGATCGCCCTCTACACATCGCTAAAACACGGTGACAAGATCGAACGAGCTGTGATTGTTTCCGGAAGCCCCGGGTTAGCGGACGAGAATGCGAGAACGCTTCGAAGGGCCAAAGACGACTTCCGAGCCAACGCTCTCGTCTCCAACGGCATCGAATTTTTCCTTGACGCTTGGTACGCCGACGAGCTATGGACAAGGTAACAAACTTAAGCTTATTCAAAATAAGTATTACGATTAAAAAAATATATATATTTTATATTCAAAACATCACATTTTATTCATACGCAGCTTCAGAATCCATCCGAGATTCAAGCAAATAGCGTCGACCCGTTTACGGTCGACGGATTTGTGCACTCTTGGCAAAGTTCTCTCCGACATGAGCGTCGGGAGGCAACCGTAAGTTTCGATTTCTTTCGATCATTTTAAAAACTTCAATATGTTTTGTTCGATCGAATTCGATGAAATTAATATTTGTTGATTGGGTCAGATCATTATGGGAAGATCTAAAGCATAGAAAAGTTCCTCTTCATATCATAGTAGGAGAAAAAGACTCCAAGTTTAAAGCCATTGCTCGCGAAATTCAGGCGGCGGCGCCGGCGCCGGCGGCGGTGGTGGAGATCCCGGCGGCGGGGCATGCAGTACATGTTGAGAATCCTCTTGGGGTTATAAGTGCTGTTAGTCAATTTATTAGGACGTCATCCTCGTCGTCATCACCTTCTTCTTCTTTTGTGTCGCTGACGTAATTAATAATTCTATATATATATATATTTATATATAGAGAGAGTGTAGGGAATGAATAATTTGATTGATGCAAACAAACAACATAGGATCGATTTTTCACTGTAATAATTACTTTTCACTTTAAATTTATTTGTTTTTGTTTACTTATATTGATAATTCTACAATTTAATTTAGTTTATTTTAATGATCTCCAATAATTTTAAAAAATTGGACAATCATATAAATATATGTGTGAGAGAGCTCACACAAAAGGCTCAATTTAATTGATTGATTGAGGTTATTATTGGAAAAAAATTATCAAGAAATGATGTGTCAAGAAAGTGTAGCACGATTTTGACCTTACTTATTCACACAATTTTAATGTGATTTATTCTTTAGGTAATGTCCTTTAGACGTATTTAGGTATATAATACATACAATTACAAATTAAATAAGCTAAGTAATTAGTCTAATATAAAGTAAAATTGTACCTACTAACATATACTTCCATCTGTCCCAACTCAAAATACTTTCTCCGTCCCAGAAGAAATATCTTTTTGGGAGTTGGCATCGGAATTAATGAATAATAGTATTTAATTGAAAGTTGATATAAAATATAATGTAAAAGACTATAATGCCCTTGCTTTTGAAGGGTTTTATAATATAGATTAGAGTAATAATTATGGATAGTTTGAAAAAATAGGAATAATTTTGTTATAAAGTGGGGACCACAGTTACTAAATAAAAAAATAAGATAATTGTTTTGGGACGGATGAAAATGGAAAAATAAGACAATTCTTTTGAGACGGAGGGAGTATTATTTTTATCATTTTGGTTCGTCTCACTATTAAGTATTTTTTTATATATATTTTAGTAAAACTAATCACACACTAATACCAAAATATCCTTATATTTTATTAAAATTACAATTATATTATTACACGTACAATTACTTTATACATAAAGTTAAAGTTAAAGTTAAAGAGCACAGATGCCAAAATTTCTTACGCACTCCACTAACCAATAAAATACTACTTCATCCGTCTCAATACAATAGTCTTGTTTACCATTTTTATCCGTCCCAAAACAATAGTTTTATTTCCATAAATAACTATATCACCATAAAACTATCCCTACTTTTTTATTATTATTACACAATTGCCATTAATATACTCACAAAGACAAAAAAATCATTTATCCTTACTTTTTACCAACTACCAATAAAATATCAATATTCTTTAAATCCCGTGCCTAACACAATAAGACTATACTTTTGGGACGGAGGGAGTATTATTTTTTAATCTACTACAAAACTCCAAATGACAAACTTTGATCGAACGGCTAAGGATTACTCGCAGGGTAATGGGCTTGACGGGCCGGGCCGACTTCCCGGCCCAAAGCATCACTCACATGACGATAAATATTACACATACCTCTTTATAAAATTGTTTTAGTTTTAGAATTGAACATATTTTGAGTGAAATAATTATTCAAATCCCATGTTTTATATATAATTTATGTTTCAAATAGTACTTTTAGATATATTTTTTTAATAAACTATATAATGAAAAAATAACAAGATCAAAGAAAAAGAGAGAGGAAAAAAACATTGCACTAAATTAAATTATTGAATTTTATTACATACACACATATACATATACATACATAAAGTATATTATATGGATGTGTGTGTATTGTTATCCCACAGTTCATTAAAATTAGTAAAAAGGAATATCCTCAAAAGATGCATCATCATCGTCATGCGACGGCGACGGCGACGGGGACGATGACGGTGACGGCGACGGTAATGGCAACGGCAATGGCAATGGAGCCGGGGGCGAGTGGCCCGGTGGACTCTTGCGGCAAACACAAGTGCCGACGAGACATTTATTGTCATAACCGGGGGCGCAACCTTGTCCTAATCCTAGGCATTGTTCGTCTTTGAAACACTCCGGGAATATGGGCCGGCAATAACAACTCCCTTCGTAGCAAAACGCGCCGAATAAATTGATACAAGGTAGTCGGAATATGCATTCGATGTCATTCTTGCACTCGTTCTTCGAAGACCAATTACCCGATGCTGTCCGATCAAAAAAAAAAACAAAAAACATATTACCCGATGCTGTCCGATCAAAAAAAAAAAAAAAAAACATATTATTACGTGGTTAGAAAGACTTTTGCTAACACGATAAGATGTAGCAAGAGTCTCGTTGTTTCTATTTATTTTAATTTTTTTTAAGAGTATATCAGTTTTTTATACAAATTATTACACTCCATTGGATGTCCGAATTACTGTAGATACTCGAATTTATAATAAGTATAATTAGTAGATAATTAAAAATGTATTGGTAAAAATAATTATCCTATAATATAAATAATTAGAAATTAAGATTAAAATAGCTAATTAATTTAATTAAAATTAAAAAAAATAAATTATAAAATTTAAAATGAGATTGAGGTGTGTAATTATATTCCAAAAAAGAAAAGTAATATGAGATGTGAGACGGACAAAAACGACAACATGAATATGATAAATGAGACGGATGAAGTATTTAATAATTACTTTACTTAAAAAATAATGAGATCCAAAACATCAAAATGAAATAACATAGAAAGTCTTTGCGATTCAAAATCTATCTTCACATTTGATATACTCCCACAATCCAGCTAGAAAGTATATTTTTATTTTGAGATGTCCAATTACAAAGTAATATTTCATTAAATACCTTACTTTTTTCACAAATAACCTTACTTTACATCACATCATTACTTTTACACCAAAAAACAATGGTAAAAATGTCATTTTATTACTTTTAACTGCCCACTGTAACTATTTACTTTGTGTGTGGACGAAGGAGTATATTTTAAATATAATGTATATAAAAGTTTATTTTATTGGAAAATTTTTAGATTCAAAATACATTGAAATGCACATTTGTACTGAAGAATACTTACCAATGGCTACGGCGAAGAATAATGTGGCAAAGAAAATCGGCTTTTGAAAACTCATTATTTATTTTTATATTAATTTTTAATGTATAAATTATCGAGCATGGAAAGTAATATATATATATATATATATATTTGTATGCGTGTAAAGATAAATTTTATGTAAGCTATTTTATTGCTAAAATTTAATTTTATATATATTTATTGCAGAGTTGACTTTAAAAAAAAAAAAAAAAATTGTAATCAAATTACCCAAATTTGGACATATATACTGTTAATCATATATACGTTATTATATTTTGTAACGGACATAAATTATAATTATATAATCTATATAAATGTTCGGGTGTGTTTAATGTGATTGTATATTTGAAAGTTAAAATTCAAATTTTTAATAATTTTGAATTAAAATAATTATTTAATATTATACAAATATAAGTATTAACATAATATTTAAAATATAAAAAAAATTAATATATTATAAAAAATAAATATTTAATTTTATTATAAATAATATACGAATAATAAAAACTGGATACAAAATCTCCACACAAATATAGCCGTATTGAATTATTTGATTATTACTTTTTTTTTTATAACGTGAAAATGAAATGTTAGATTAAAATTTTTATTTAGTAGAAAAAATAATAGTCTCTCCGTCCCGCATATTTATTTTTCTTATTTTTATAAGTTTATCAATTTTAAATATACTTAACAAATATATATTAATTTAATTAAATTTCTAATGTCTTACACGTAGGATATATTCAAAATCCCTTTATTTCTATCTCTCTCTTCGATTAACAAATATTTTTATTATCTAAAAAATGATATTCATATTGTATATATTTATGGTAATGATAAATAAATAAAAATATTTTTTTATTCATTTGTATTATAAAAAATTTTATTGTCTAGAAAATGATATTCATATTGTATATATTTTATTGAGATATAATTGTAAAAATATTTAAAATACCAACCATGCTATACATATAAAAAAAATAATAAAATATTATCATAACTTATTATTAATAACTTAATAATCTACTCTAACTAAAATATCATATCCCTAACAAAATGGTTGATACGGAGGGAGTATGTATTTGTTGAAAATGGTACGAAAATAAATAGTATTTAAATTTTTAGAATATTTATGTTCTCAATTTTGACTTTAAACATTCATTTCTTTATGTTTAATTAATAAAAAAATAATAAAAGAAGAGTAATAAATGCTAGTATTAAATGATGAATATATATATATATATATATTTATAACCAGCCAGGAATTTAAAATCGCTGTTTGACCCGATTTAAAATAAGGTTCGGCAAGTTAGGGGTGTCAATTTGTAAATTTAGATTGTGTTATAGTCGAGTTGAGCTATGGGTATGATAAAAAACTGTCAATTCGAACTCGATCCGAAATTAAAATTTAACCCGAAACTCTAAATTCAAACACGTCACGAATTTTTTTCAAATCGGATTCAGATTGACTTGATTTAGTTTTAGCTTATCCAAATCTGAATAAATCTGAAACAAAACCTACTCGAAAACTTAAAAATATTTAAATTTACCTAAAGATATCCATTTAAATTTAATTTCATATTATTTTATTTTAAAATAATATAAATATTATAAATTAAAATAATAATAAAAAATAATTTCAGATCAATCTAGAATTCCAAACCCAACCTGATTTTTGTATTTCGAATTATCATATCAACCAGATGACATGAAAATACTAAATTATATAAAAAAAATAGTTCACAAAAAATGATTCGATGGTATTAGGTGCATCATGACCCGTGAGAATAGTTCGTTTTTATTATTTGGAATTTCTTTTTTTTTAAAATAAAATTATATTTTTTCATAAAATATCAAATCCAATATAATCATAAAAAAATCAAATTAAAGTCAAAAGAACACGCCCTCAAAACTTCGCACCTCACCACATACATTCAATCAAAGGCGGCGACGGCGAAGGGTACGACAACAACAATGTTATATACACACAACACAAGACAAGACAAGATCGAACATTTCTTACATTACATACAAATATATATGTTGCAAGAAGTGCGTAGTCGGGGACGAAGACGACAAATCAATGATTCCTACATTCTTCGATGGAACAAATGCGCCATGAAGATCGACACCAAGACCATCAACACAACAAAAGCGCGCATTCGTCGTCGCGATTTACCAATCCCGACGACGCCCTCATCCTCCGGATTCATCGTCGAATTCATCCCGTTGTTTTCAGAATTCGAAGAAGTCATTTTAGCCTCATCCGAATCCTCGACCTGTTCGATGCATTCCCAATCGAACATTATAATCGAAACAACCATCTTCTTACAAGTACATTTTCAGGTGTATTTGGATTTTAGTTTGAGATTTGAATAGTAAAAAAAATTAAATTTGAACAGTTATATAAATGATGTGATATAAATAGTCGATGATGCGATATTTTAAATATAAATTTAATTTTTAGTATAATAAATAACATGATCAATAGGGCTGTGTTTTTTTTTGAGTTTTACCGCAAATTTTTATTATTTTTTTCTAAAGAAATATCAAATCAGACAATTATTTTTTTATATATATATATTATACTACAAGTTTATTTTATATTCAAAACAACACATCAATCTATGTTTATATTATATCAAATGACTATTCAAATTTAACTTTTTACTATTTAAAAATCCAAGCCTACAAACAAATACACCCAATGTTTGATTTAATATTTTTGGGAGAAATTTTTTTTTTCGAAGAGTAGAAATTTTGTAAAGTTCGATAAAAGAACACGCCCGAAAACGTTAAGAAACCTTAAATGTAATGAAAACACGGAGAATTACTCGAAAAAAGATCGCGGAAAGAGACACTTGCCTCGAAGTTTTTCGACACAGCCTCGGCGACTTTACCATCAAGCCCCGACAAAACAAATGTCTTTTCATCAAATTCTCCGATCCTCCGATCCTTCCGCAAATTCTCTCGCAAAACCATGTTTTCTTTCGCCAACGACGATAACTGTAATGAAAGGCGTCAATCGAGTAACTGCGAGAAAAAAACACAAGTAGTGATAGCGATGAAAAACACAGTACCTGTTTTTGTATCCGCTCCCGCTCAATCGCGAGCTGCACGACCATATTTGTAATAACCCGAGTCCTGACGGCGATTTCGTCAGCGCTCGATTGTTTCCGAGTCGTAGCTTCGTCCAACGAAGCCCCGACGAATGCCATTTTCGATCGCAGAAATTCCAATTCCTTGTTCAGTTTGTCGTTCGATTCGGACAGCAGAACGCATCGCTCGTCGGAAATCTCCGCCTTCGTCTCAGCACTCGCGACTTTCTGCTTCAGCTCGTCGATCAACGTTTCCATGTCCCAAATCGCCGTATAAAGCATGTTTTGCTGCTCCTGCCCGGCCTCCGACGACGCTCTCGAGTGCTGAAGCTGAATATCGAACTCCCGGACCTGCTTTTCGAGAACGCTAACCTTTTTCGCGTTTGTCTCATTGCTACCTTTGAGAAAATCGAGCTCGTCGGTAAGCTCGACGTTCGACTCCGTCAAGTGGGCGACTCTTTCTTCCGCAATCGCCGCCCGATTTTTAGCGTCGAATATCTCCCTCTTCAACGTCCGAATTTCTTCTTCCGTTTCCTTAACCTTCCGTTCGCTAGAAATAGTCGCTTCTGCAAGGCTCGACCGCGTTTCGACTAGCTTTCGCTCGAGCGTTTCGACTTGGTTCCGTAAACCCGTTACCTCCGCATTGTCGGAAATAAGCTCCGCGACTTTCCCGTCGAGGTTTTGGATCGAAACTTCCTTTTCGTTCAACCGATTAACGCAATCGTTCAGCTTCAACGTTAATTCTCGTTCTCGTTTAGCTGAATTAATACGTTCGAACTCGAGAGTTCGAAGTCGCCCCAATGTCTCTCTCGAGATTCCCATTAGTACCGCCGCGGCATTATCCGCCTCCAAGAACCGCCCCCACGCGACCTCCGCCGCCTCTTCCATGGCAACCCCGACTTGTTCGATCAGCCGTATCTTTACCTTTAAATCCTCCTCGTTCTGTCGGTGGCGCGTCACCGTTTTTTCGAGTTCGACTTCGTTCGCGAGAGATAACTCCAACATTCTTCGCACTCGCGCTTGCTCGGGCGTCGAAATCTGGCGATTTAGACCTGTATCCAAGTTACGCTTATCTACAAAAACCGAAGATTACGTCAATTTTCTTCGATCTAACGACGTCGTTAATACCTTCTAACGAGACAAAAAAATCGAATCTTTTTAGAGTTAATGAACATCACAAATTCATTAAAACAGATAGTACTTACATTCACTGTGTTTGACGATGATCGACGTCATTTCCAGCTTCGCTAATCGAATCGTCATCCCCAAAATGCGGTCTCGGGATTCTTTCAATACATCTTCGCAACTTCGAATCTTACCGCCGAACGCTGCAACGAGTTCGGTCGAGCGCTCCGACGCAAATATTTTACGATGAGCATCGCCAATTAGGCCCAGAAGATCAACCAACCGATCCTCGATCTCCCTCACCTCGAAAATCAGTACGGCGTACATCAAATCAAATGCGAAAGCCTTTTCGACAAATTCTTCAGAGCTCGCGTCGTTTTCGAAATCGATAGACTCAACATTGTTTTCCCCAGACAAAACATGTAAGAGGTTCTCCAAATTCGCCAATTTTTCAGACGAGTAGTCGATGATCATGTCCACTTCGAACAACGCTTTCAATACGCTTTGTAGCTCCTCCTCCTCGTCGTCGTCGCAGCTGTAAGAAAATCCATCGAACGAAAACTTCCGATCGCCAATGCCATTTGTGACATTACCCGACATTCTTACACCGGCTGCTGCAAAATTTTCAAAAGATCGAAAATCATTAAACTTCGCCATACTACAAAAAGCTCGTCTAACAATGTGACAAGGACAACATTTTCGTCGTCGATTTCGCCTAATTGTAGTTAACTAACCAATGCTCAATGCTGCAAAGATGTTAGGAAACCGAATGCTGGAAAATTGAGTCGAATTTGATATCGAAAATACCAGTTTTTGCAACATAGGATCGATTTTCACAGCCATTAGTACATCCTTAACAATACCAAATCCAAAGTATAAGCAAATCAAAGCAGAAAACCTAAAGCTTAAAATTCATGAAGAGAAGAAACACAAAAGCATATCATTAAAGCGCCATAACTAACAAGTACTCAAAAGCTCTCATTACCATGTAAGAAACAATGCTTCTTCCTTAGCTTCCACGAAAAGTATTCGTGTCCTAAATTGACGAAAAAACGAAGCAAAAATGAAACAATCGCAAATTCCGAAAACTCAATTCAACACATATAACCAGCAATCGAGTGAAAAACACGAATCAAAGGACAATACCTTATTTATAAGATAAACCCTAAACTCAACCCTAACTGTAAGAACAGCGTATTTCTCCAAAACAACGAAGCTCAGGCAACTCAAATTACTCCGAAGTTAAAGTCAACAACAGAAAACAGCTAACCTCAGCTCAGCTCAAATCAGACACCGATTTTCCACAGATTTTTGTAAGAAAACTGAAACAGAGGAGAAATTTGCATACCTTAATGGCGACTTTGGAGAGACTTCTGGCAGGCAGGGAGTCACGAACCTCCTCGGCTTGGTGCCGTTGGTTTAACGAACGGGCAACCTTGGAAGAACAGGGGGCGGCTGCTAACGTGCGCGGGGGAGGCGCACCGGTAAACGGTCAACTTCAGAGTTAGGGAGACGGGAAATTAATTTTGACCTAATTGGAATTTAATCGTAATTTCAGATGAATTTAATGATAATTTCGCATTTTTTGAATTGAAATAAAATGAATTTGTTAATTAAATAATTGTGGAAGTACAAAAAAGAAATGAAAAGAATTTGATGATGAATAAATGATAAAGGGATAATATTAGTATTTATTTTTGAAATTAAAAAAAAATATAAATAGATATGTTTCTTTATCCAAATTTTTTAAAATTTTATTATTTTTAAAAAAATACATTTTTTTTAAATAAAATATTCTATTAAATATTATTTTAATACGATATTCAAATCAAATTTTTTCAAATTCAACAAAAAAAAACATACTATAGAAATATTGAAATAGTTATATTTGTGGTGGTATGGTATTATTGAAATAAGTGGAGGAGCCAATGATTAAGACAGCAAAGTACCTAAAAGGCATATAGTAGTGGGCCCACAACACGCTCTTCCACGGCAATGAAACCATTCTTTGTATGGCTGTATTTATTTCTATTTTTTTTAATTCCATTTTATTATTCATTAAAAAAAATATGATAAAATAGCGTACTTCTGTTTATTTATAAGATTTTAATTTTGAATTAAAATAATTTTTTAAAAAATAATATAAATACATATATTAATGATGTAATATTTTGAATATAAAATTTAAAATTTAATTTTAATATAATATAATTAAAAAAAATAAATGTTTAATTTAATATTTTTTAAAATAAAAAAAAAATTAAAATAATAAAATTGAAAATCAAATTTCACAGTTAGACATGCCCTATAAAATTTACAAAAAATTACTTCAACCGTCGTCCAAATTTATTCCCATTTTTTTCGTTGTCATCTAATTTAATTCTCGTTTTATATTTTAGTAAAAAAAAATAAAAAAGAAATACTATTTTTTCTTTTCTCTAAAGGAAAAAAGTTTTTAATTTTACCAATTTTTTTTTTAAATTCATACCCGATCAAATAGGCATAATTTTGTATGACGGAGGAGTACAAAAATTGTGCAAAAGTTCTCAGCTTTGTTTGTCTAGAATTTTAATTTGAATTTTTTTTTTTTTATATATGAAACATAAAAAGTTATGTTGAAAATATAAAAGTTAGATATATTTTATATTGAACATTGAATTGTGTGAAAAAAAAATAAAACATAAATATTAAGAATCGTATAAAAAAAATACTCCCTCCGTCCCATATGCTATGTCCACGTTGTCATTTCTGTCCGTTCTACATACCATGTCATTTTCCTTTTTTGAAAAATGATTACACACTTTAATCTCATTTTAAAGTTTTTAATTTTATTATTTCAAAAATTTTTAATTAAACTAATTAGTTATCTTAATCTTAATTTATAATTATTTATATTATCGGATAATTATTTTCACTAATACATTCTTAATTATCTACTAATTACACTCCTCTTAAAATACCATGTCTATAGTGTAGCAGACACGGTATGTGGGACGGAGGGAGTAATAAAATTGAAATAACAAATCCCTCGTTATTTGAAGACAAAAACAACCTTGATTTGAAATTTTTTTGTATTCTTAATGGCAGATGAAAAGAAAAAAAATATGGCAAGAAAATAGGTTGTATTTGACAATTAACTTAATATTCTTCGTCTCATTTTAAAGTATTATTTGTAATTTTATGGTATATTAAAAAATAATACTCTATGCGTTTAATACAATAGTATTGTTTACCATTTTTGTCCGTTCTAAAACAATAGTCTCATTTTTATAAATAACCATATCACCATAAAATTATCCATATTTTTTCATTATTATTACATAATTGTCACTACTTTTTATACTTAATATACTCACAAGGGCAAAAAAATCATTTATCTTTACTTTTTACCAACTATCTATATAATATCAATATTCATTAAATATCATATCCAAATCAATAAGATTATACTTTTGGGACAGAGAGAGTAGTATTGATTAGTAAAAATAAATAAGAAATTTTGATATTTTCTTCATTTGATTTTATTTATAAATTAATATATGTGTAATAATATATTTATTATTTTGATAAAAATTAAACGATATTTTGATATTAATATACTATTATTTTTATTAAAAAATGTTAAAAAGATACTTTTAAGAAAAATTAAATTAAAAAATTCTTTAAATAATTTTTTTGATGAATTGAAATGCATTGAGTCAAAATGTGAATTAATTGAAAAATTTTCAATTGTTCATATTAAAATATAATTAAAATGGTGGGCTAAAATAATTATGAAATTTGGATAAATTAGTTAAGTTATTAACTAATTGGAGTGGAAAATTGTGCCACATTGAATTATTACATCTCCAATAATGTGTATATATATATATAGTTATATACATTTTTTAATATATAAAATTCTATTCATAATTTATAAAATAAAAATATTTAATTTTTATTAATAAATATAAAAACTAATATAAAAAATCATATACTATATATTATATTAATGTATACAATAAAATAAATGTATTATCATTAACGAGTTCAATCAAGTTATCGCGAGCCGAACTCAAACCTAGCTCGTTCATAAAAATAATAATTTTAAAATTCCAGCTGATTTATTATTTTTTATGATACTTAGATATAAAGGTTAATTTATTTTAGTAAATAAACTTTTTAGTAATATATTTATATATCAAATTTTATTACAAGATATCCATATTTTTTAATTAAAAAAAATATTGAGAAGTTATGAAAAAGAGCATGTTCATTATTGATATAAATTAATTTTAATAACTTAAGGTTATATATATATATATATAATAGCTCAAAAGAAAAAAGAAAAAAAAAGAATGAATAAATTAACCTTTCATATCTAGTATTTCTTTATATTTTTAAACAATCTAAATGTTTGAAAATATTCTATACACTATTTTTAAAAAATAAATTAGTATTTATTTATTTTTTTTTTGAAAATATTCTATACTTTTAATCTTGATTTTATACATCTTCACAAGTAAATTTTATATAAATATATATGTTATATTGTAACTAGATTAACAAGTTTAGAATTAAATTATTTCTTTTATATTTTCTTTTATCAAATAATATAAATTATATTATAAGTATTAGATTATGTTATATTTACTTATTTACTGCCGGGTTTTCCCAAATTTTATTATTTGTACTCTGAATTTTTTTTAAAAATATACATTTTTTTCCTCTCACAAAACATCCCATCAAACATTATTTTCATACCAAACTCAAACCAATTTTTTTCCAAATTTATAAAAAAAAAAAAAAAAATACACCCTAAATGCTAATATATATATGTATATATATAAACATATTACTATAAATTTCATAATAAAACAATCAAATATACTTTTATATCTAATATAACAAAAAATAATAATAAGCTATTTTATTACGGATTATTGTTCGATTACGCAACATTATTACTGTAATTTTAGTCAAATCTGATTTTTTAATATCATAGACGCCCAAACTTAAACTTGTAAAATTTTAAATACGAATTTAAATTTTTAGGTCGAATTCAATTTTGGCACTTCAAAAAAAACATATCAAAAGAAAACTAATGGGTTTGGGTTATAAGATTGGATATTAAGTTAGAGCCAATAGTAAAATAGGGTTTACCTTTAAGTTTAAATGGTCGGAACTTTAATAACATTTCAAATAAAAATAACAAAAAATTCGTTGAGAATTTATTAGAAATACATCATCTAAAAAGCGTATTTTTTGATGAAAAGAGTGTAAAATTTAAAATAAAGCTATGATAAGCTTAAATTTTATTGAATTTACGTGTGTTTTTTTGTTTTTTTTTTTTAAAATTTTTGTCATATTTATATGAAATGGTTGTATGGATACAACGATATTTATTATAGATACGGAAATTTTATAAGAAATACAATTAGTAAAGAATTAAAAATATATTAGTAAAATTAATTATAATATAATACAAATAATTATAAATTAAAATAACTATTAGTCTAGTTAAAATTTTTAAAAATATAAATTATAAAATGTATATGTTTAAAATAAATAATTTTTCTCTAAAAAGAATTACATAAAATAGACAAACATAAATAAAAATATGATATTATATGTGGATATTAACTAAATTAGAAACAATTTAATTTAATAGCCACGTACTTAAGGGGTGTTTGTTTGGGGATTGGAAAAATTAGAAAATAAATAGTGGATTTCTAATCCACTATTTATCTAATTTTTTTTTAAAAAAAATCAAATCAAACACTTATTTTTTATTTTTTATATTATATTAAAAATTAATTTTACATTCAAAACATTACATCAACACCTATTTATATCAAATCATACAACTATTCAAATTCAATTTTTTTACTATTCAAATTTCAATTCAAAATCTAAATCGCCAAACAAACAAATATTCAAACCCCACTTCAAAATCTAAATCCCCAAACAAACAAATATATTTGTCCAACCTAATTGATTGAATCTTTCTATTTCGATTGTCCAATGTGAAAACCATCACCCTACAATAAACCAATTTGTAAGTTCGAAAGGAATTGTTGAGTTTCAACTAGTAATTCACAATGTCTAACAATTCTAGAAGAAATGTATGATGATCATGTTGGCTTGGACACTGTGGCCGGCAAATGAAAAACAACTGAAAAAAAAAAAAAAAAAACAAGCAGAATAACAATATGATTCGTCTAGTGTAACTTGTCTTGTTGGATCTAGTTTGTAAGATATTCAATTTGATCCAAATTTATTTCGTGTGCACTTTTGGATAGCAGCGATTAATTCTCACGTCATCAAAAAAAAAACAGCAGTGTGAAGTCAATAATGTTATAAAAATGCATCAGTTTTGTTTCTTTCTTTCTTTTGTGAACTTCCAAATTTTTATGTCCCTGGATGAAATGGGAGCTATTTGGATTAAGACTCTATTTACTTGTAAGATTTTGATTTTACTATTTTAATTTATTTTTTCTTCAAAAAATATCAAATCAAATCTTCAATTTTTATATATTTTATTAAACTAAAATTTAATTTTACATTCAAAACATCGCATCAATACATATTTATATCACATCAAACAAATAAATCAATACAAAATTTTACTATTCAAAATCGAAATCAAAATCCAAAACATCACAAGTGAACACACCCTATAGTTTTCTCAATCAATCATTGCCTCTCTGATTTTCAAAAAAGTTCTCTCCAAACTAGAATTGGTAAAAAATAAATTTTACATGTCAACACTATTTGACATTTGTCAAGCTAATACTCTTTCACATAATTTGTTCATATTTTTTATTTTCGTATGTCCACATAACTTGTCATTTTTTTTGGAAATATAGTTACGCACTTTAATCGTATTTTAACTTTTAAATTTTATAATTTTTTTAATTTTAATTAAATTATTTACTTATCTTAATTTTAATATATAATTATTTTTACTAAATAATAATTATTTTTCTAATACATTTCTTAATTACTTACTAATTATACTTTACCTAAATTCTCGTATCCACGGTAATAGTCCCATATTTTCTGGGACGGACGGAGTAATAAACAATATGACACTAACTTCAGAAGATCCTTAGGGTGTGTTCGTTTGTGGGTTTGTGTTATGAAAATTTCAGGAAATCAAGATGAGAAAACAAAGACAAAAGAACACAAGAATTTGGTAACCCAGTTCGATCACAAAGATCTACGTCTGGGGGCGCTGCCAAGCCAGGAATTTTACTATAAAGTACGCAGGCACATGTTAAAGTGAGAATACATGGATATTTATAGCCTAAGCCTTTGACAATAATATCCAAATCATATCTCTAAAATCTAAAATATAATATCCAAATCATATCCCTAGATTTTAGGATATAATCAGGCTTCATATCCCAACAATCTCCCACTTGAAGACTGATTTCATCTTCCACTTCAACATACCTCATCCAATTTCCACTCCCCACCATTCGGTGTTCTAATTCGAATCATTCCTTTACCTACAATTTTCAGTGTCTCATCATCTCCAAGATAGACAACACCAAAATTACCTGTGGTATAGGATTCTATGATTCTCGAATCACTGCATGAGTGGAATGACGCTCGACCAAAATCCATGACTCCATTGGACTGCTGACGCTCAGAATCAGCGCATCGGATATCTCCTCCGTTGCGTTTGCTGAACCCTGATCCTTCTCCGGCGCCCTACACTGTCGTTTCAAGTGCCACTTGCAGTTCCAATATACCACCTGACTTGCATCTTCATTGTCCTTATTCTTCGGCTTCAACTTTGACCATTCTTGATCTTCACCCTTTCCTTTTGCCTCAAATCTAAATTCAGTCGAGACATTCTCCCAAAGGGTTAGTCGAACCGCACTCATCGTCTTCCTGTCGATCTTCTTGTATTCGGCTTCATCCATGTCTTCAAATTTCTCCATCGAATACCTTGACAACATGACGATCACCCATCTTGACTCCCACAAACAAACCAAGGTTCACTTGATATGAGAGCACATCGGATATCTCCTCCGCTGTTTTTTCCGAAACCCTTATCCTTCCCTGCCAACCTTGCACCGCCTATCACAAAGGGACTCGCTGCCTGACCTACCAGTCGGGACCGACCCAACACCGCCAAGAGACTTTCGACACAAGGCACCTCCGCAGGTCACAAAGGATTCCCACAACGATCCAACGTCCGATTCCTCTCAATCCACCCTATCAACGAACTAGGCTCTGATACCACTTGTTATGAAAATTTCAGGAAATCAAGATGAGAAAACAAAGACAAAAGAACACAAGAATTTGGTAACCCAGTTCGATCACAAAGATCTACGTCTGGGGGCGCTGCCAAGCCAGGAATTTTACTATAAAGTACGCAGGCACATGTTAAAGTGAGAATACATGGATATTTATAGCCTAAGCCTTTGACAATAATATCCAAATCATATCTCTAAAATCTAAAATATAATATCCAAATCATATCCCTAGATTTTAGGATATAATCAGGCTTCATATCCCAACAGTTTGAAATTTTGAATAGTAAAAAGTTGAATTTAATTAATTGTTTAATGTGATATAAATAGAATATCATATAATATAAATTTATAATATAATATAAAATAATAATAATAATAATAATAATTGTTTGACGTAGTATTTTTGAAAGAAAAGAAATAAAAACCTGTCCTAACACCCACAAAAAAACACAACCTTAGGGTTTAGGGTATGTTTTTTTTAGCTAATTTTTTTCAAATTTTATTATGCAAAAAATATCTCATCAAATATTATTTTAATTAATAAAACACACGAAACTTTGCATGATTAAAATATTCGTTAATAAAAATAACTCTGATCCAACAAAGGATGAATCAAATGGAAACAGACTCATCACATAACTCAACTTTGGAATCTGTAGAACATAACTTTAAGAAACACATAAACTCAACACTTAATTGCCATTGTAAAAACCATTCTAAATAAACCAGGCAGCTCCAAATTATTCACAAAATTTAGCCAAAATATTGATCAAATTATCATTGAATATATAAAAACAAACAAATTAATACGTTTGTTTCGGGAATTTCTTCGTATTTTCACTCTTCATCAAATTTTTTTTGTCAAAAAATATTAAACTAAATATCTATTTTTTATCTTTTATATTATACTAAATAAAATATCATATCAACTCCTATTTATATCACATTATACAATTATTTCAATTCAAAATTTTTACTATTCAAATTTCAAATCAAAATTCAAAACCCAATTGCTCATAACTTTCACGTGTATGATTTCAAAATTTAGCGTAAAATTTCTCTATATTTTAGAAATTGCATTACGTTCTTTAAACTTTAAAAATTTTGCATGAAACCACCACCTAAAAACCATCCATGCGTAATGAGAAAGGCGGGGTTTCGTACGAATATATTTTAAAGTATAAACAAACGTCATATAATTTTTAAAATAAAATGATGATTTACGGTGAATTTTGAAACTACACACGAGTTTTATGTAATATTTTTTAAAGTATAATGACGCTATACAATATTTAAAGTAAAAAAAAAAAATTAAACTGAATTTTGAGTGACGAATGTATTATAACAATTTTGTCAAATTAATAAGTCACTTCTACCACAGATAAATTGTGTAATTAACTTAGATATAAATCAAGACTACAACCCTACAGGAGCATCGTTCTTCAAGAACTCATCAATGGTGGAAGGAAACACAAACCCTCCAAAGCCATCATCACTATCAGAATGCACAATCGAAGCTTTTCCCAGCAGCAAATGCGCCAATCTGAGCGGCTCTGTTTTCTCCCCCTTCAGATGATGCTTAATCCATTCTTCCAATCTATCAGTTTCCTCACGCCTGGTAGGTCCCTTCACCCCGACGATCTTCCCGTAGAAGCCATCTAGGTCGCCGGGAAATGCCGTTTTATTCGCCTCTTCTGGATCTGGTAACCGCAGGAGCTGCATCAATTGCTCAATTTCATCATCGGAACTATTTGGTTCGTCTTCTAATCGGTTTTCTCCATTGGGCAAATTATTAGGGTTTGGTGAGAAATTAGGGGAATCGGAGAGAAATTCATGGGGGATTTGGCTATCTTGTGGATCTGAAGCGCTCGAATTGGAGTTATGGTAGTCGATGTAAATAGGTGTGCCTAGAGAATCTGTGCTGTTGACGGTTTCTTGAGGTTCTGTAGGCGGCGGCGGCGATGGCGACGGGCGGCGGTCTTCAAGTTTGAGCCGTTTCTCCAGGCGTCTGAGAGATGTGAAAAATTGGGAATGTGAAGACGGCGAAGTGTTCTGCATTTTTTGAGACTCAGGCAATCAATTGAAGTACCGACGACGGCTACGGCGACGGCGAAAAATGGGCGAAGCCTGAATTTCCGATCAGCGGCGGCGGGCGGAGCGTCGTCGGTGTTGTGTTTTGCTATTACAGCTATGATTAATAAAAGGGAAAAGATGAATTATTGTGAAATTCCAATTTTGCCCTCGCCAAAATTAAATAATTGTTTAATAAGAAGTAATGATTTCAATTTTAAATAAATTTTTAATATAATATAAAAAAAAAAATAATTATTTGATACGATATTTTAGAAAGGAATACTCGCAAACTCCGAATAAAACAGAACCCCCACGGCAAGACGCCGCACCGGTGCATTTCCTCCTCGTCCTTCGCCGTCGCCGGAGAGTTCAGGCAATTTCGCCGTCTGATTGATATAATATTTTATGAATGGCACGAATTATATGTATACTAGTGTAAAACAAGAATAAGAACTTCGTTTCTCTCTTTATCGAACTGTATCGAATCGAATTTTTTAAACGTTGTTTTCTCGACACACTATTCGTTACAAAGGTGAATCGAACGTTTTCTTTCATTACAAAGTTATAACTTTCTTCTTCTTCGTCGTCGTTGTCATTCTTTCGTATCTGTTTCAGTTTGGCGCCGATTCTGCAAAAGAAACGACCGTCAAATTCGTTGTGATCGGAACGATGTAAAGATCGGGAGGCGAATACCTGTATCCGGGTGCAGATTTCGATGACTTCTGGGAGCGGTGCCCAGTCGCCGAAGTTCCGCTCGATGAACTGGTAAGCAATTCCGGTTTTGCCACTGCCGAGTACGTATAGTCCCCCCTTGATCTCGCCTTCGCCCTTGAAGTTTTGATCGATATTAAACGCTTTCGCTCGTTTATAATTCGCGATCGCTCGAGGGTTGAGCAAGAAACCCGATATGAATTTGTCTTTGAGCAGCTTCCCGCCGCCGAGCGCTTTGAAAAATTCCCGACCCCGGTCGAGCACAACGACGCCTCCCCAATATCGCGGCCAGAAGTCCCGAACCTGCAGTTGAGACATTTTCCATTAATCGCGATCGATTTTTCGGACAGACGATCGATCGAGCAAACGGGTCTAATTCTCACCTCCGATTCGATGTGCTCGTGAAGAACGGCGAAAAGTTGAACTCCGAGCGCGTCGAATATCGGCTTCTTCGAGTACAGCTGATGTGCCTCGGCTCGACACATTATGCATCTGGAATTCGCGACATCGACGAACCGTTAACCCGTTATTAAGGTGAAATAATTCCAAGACGAGATGCGGTAATCGAATCGTTTACTCGTACCCAGGTCTTCGAATGCAGACGAGTATCGCCGGTTTCTCGCGCCACAGCTCGGAGGCCTTCATCGGAGGCGTCGTCGTCGTGATCAATCTCTCCATCCCGATCTTGTATTCGGGGGTGAGTTTTTGTACCGAGACGTTCTCGATGCTCGAATACGGCGCGACATTCTCGACGACGGGCGGCGGTTGCACGCACCCGCAGGCTCTAGGCTCCGCCGGCCCGGCTGATACGACGCCCTTGAAAACGTATCCATCTCCGATTTTGAAACTTGCGACGGATTGCTCTAATAAGCTGTTATTCCTCGATGGCGCACTGAATTTTTTTCTCGTCGGAAGAGAAAGTAAAGGTTCGGGCGCGAAATCGCGGGTTCGGTCCGTGAAACGAGCGATGTGGCCTTTTTTCATGCTGAATTGCGAAACAAGGTCGACGCTGCTCAAGCGGAGGAGGTTGGGTAGGCCTTTTCCCGACGCCTCTAGGCGATCGGCGTATTGCATTAGAGCCCGGTCGTGGAGATATGATCGTACTTCGAGCGCATCCTTGAGCGAGGCAAGACGAGTATATCGTGTTAGTCGTGTTCGAACGAGAATCGGGATCGGTAAGAGTAGGGATAATACGGTACGGTATATCAAAAGTTTTATGAATACCGTATCGAAATATTCGATATACCGAAAATTACATCGTATCGATTTTTTTTTGTCGTACCTTATGATTTTATGGTATTTCAATATATCATACTTTTTCCGTCCAGTTAGATAGTATACATAATTCTATTTTGAGACGTCTAATTATAAAGTAACCATTTTATTAAATATCCCTTTTTTTTTTCTCAAAAATACATTTATTTCACATCACATTATTACTTTTATACCAAAAAAAATAAGGGCAAAAATATTATTATATTACTTTTACATACTCACTATAATTAAAATATTATTATTTCCCAAAAGTAAATGTATATTTCTTACTTAGATGGAGGAAGTATGTAGTATCAAAAATTAATATTCTCTCCGTTCCAATAACAAGATATTTATTTATTTACTGCGTCATTTTACTTATATAAAAAATTAATATTCTCTCCATCCTATAATAAGATATTTATTTGTTTTTTGCGTCATTTTATTTATATAAAAAATTAATATTCTCTCCGTGTCATAACAATGTATTCATTTGTTTTTTTGTATAATTGTACTTAATATTACAAATATTTTTATATTTGTATAATTTTTTGTACAAATATTATAATATTAGTATTACAAGACACTAATACAAGTATTTTTGTCATTTTCAAATCAAGGGAGTATAAATAGACCCTAAAATTATCTATATGCCAAAAAACATAGAATAACTAAAAATGTTAAAAATTATCATAATTAAAAATAATAATATAAACATAGTTAATTTTAATATTAAAATTTTTAATTTTATTCTTATTCTTGTTATATATCATTGTACCTATATATATATAGATATAGATATAGATATATTGTGTCATAGTAAATTTTAGTATAACGATATATAATAGTATGCGTAAATTTTAGTACAGTAACAATATATAACAGTAAATAAAATTTCATACGTATCGAAAATATATGATACAATATTATACGTATAAAAAATTACTATATATTAGAAGCCTGATATTTTTAATATTTTTTTAGTATATTTTTTTAATTTTTATTTAACGGAGTTAAGTTCAAGCAAACGCAAATACGGACCTTTTGCTTTCGAGTCAAGCCGAGTTCTTCCATTTCGTCTGAATTCATCGCCTTCAACGTCGGGACATCATCCCAACCTTCGTCGAGCAGCTTCGGGAGCAACTCTTGGAGAGATCCGTTCCCGACGAAGTCTTCGATCGAGAAAGAAGCCATCGTCGAGTTTTTGTTTTGTCGTTGAAGAAACTTCGATTCGTTATGATATATACATCGATTGTAGGCCGGCCGATTTGATATTAGCCGGCCGAATGAGCTCACAATTAATAGTTCAATTCTTTCTTTCGTCTTTTTCAATGAGTACAAACAGCATTTTGATGCCGGATCGGTCCAAAGATGCCTTGCTCAAAAAAATAGTGGCGATTGATTTTTTTATGCTGTTATATAAAATAGAGAATTTAATACAAAAAAATATAAAAAAAAAAAAAATCATTATTTGATAAATATACACAAAAAAAAAATATACATAAATTTATTATCTAAAAATATGTTAATTATCAATTTACAAAATTCTTCAATCACGGGAAAAAAAGGGAAAAAAAAGATTCGGGAGAACATATTATTCAAAAAAAAATTGGTACACAAAAAAAAATATTAAAAATTAGTCATTTTTATGTTCACAAATTCAATTCTCTATTTTTTTTCATATATTAAAGTACAAATTTGAAAATTAAAAAATAAATAAATTTTTATTTTCTATTTTAAACAAACAAAAATAATAATACTTTCTTTTTGACCGAAAAATTTAACTCAATTCCTTTTTTATATATATAAAAAAAAACAACAAAAAACACTAAAATTTCAATAATAATTTGTTTCAGCTTATTTTTTTATTGTATTTAAACACCCTCTAAAAGCCTAAATTAAGAAAATAATTTATTTCTTCATTTTTCTTTAGAAAATTTTAATTTTAATTTTATATTTAAATATATTTGATGAAAAAATTTGTAAAAAAATAAAAAAAAAAATTCTTTGAAATATTTTATATTTAAATAATATAGATGAAATATTTTATAAAATAAATAAAAATAGTACATATATTTATTGTTTTTCAAACAGTAAATTTTAAAAAAATATTGCTAAAGAAACAACAGCTTTTGTTCACGCAAAACTTCCATCTTCAAACAGAGATTACAATTACAAGGAAAGTCGATCATGCAGAACTCGTTCGAACAAAGCCTATTTTACACACTAGTGAAAGTCATGGTGTTCATAACGTTGGGCATTTTGTTCAAATGCCTAAGTAGTCTCTCCGCCATTTCCCGGCTGCCGTCGCCGCCGTGGTGGAGAGCTCCGATCAGCGTCGCCGGAAACATCCGGTCCTCCGATATGCTCGAAATCGACTCGTCGCCGCCTTTCATCAAGAACCTCTCGATCACCCAAAACGCCTTCTCCCTGACCCCTTCTTCTCGACGCTCTTTAACGACTTTCAAAACTTGCTCGACGGCGCACTTTTCCGACAGCACGACAATGCTCTTCCCGACGTCGACTCTGTCATCCAACAGTGTCGATATCGCCGACAACGCTGCCTCGACCACCCCCGCGTCCTTATGGTCCAAGCACACCACCAGCCGATCGACCGCCTCCGCGTCGATCAAGCAGAACGTCTCCCGCGACGAGCACACCCCGCCGTGGACGGGGCAGATCGAAAAATTGCTGCCGTTGCTGCCGCCGTTCTTCAATTTGATCGATATGCATTTACGTAAAAACACGAGCTTTAGAATCCTTGACGGTTTCCGTCGCGGAGGCCTCGACAGGCTGACGGACTGCCTCGATAGATTCTCGAGCCCGATTGCCGACAGTCTCTGAACCTCGTCGGACGACGATCGCGTCAAAAGCTCGGTCAGAACCGCCGTAAAGTCGTAGGTTCTCGCCGTCTGCAGCATCTGGTGGTCGTACAAAGTCGTCGTTAATCTGACGAGAATCCCGACGAGGCCTTCGAGATAAGCGGTCGCGTACCGGCTTGATCGCACTCCGGCTGTCTGAACCTGACCGATACCTCGGATCACCGCCTCGACCGATTCGCTGTTAACCAAAGCCAGATTGAGTGTAAGGTTCTGATGGGGAAGTTTCGCGAGAAAATTTACCGATACGGCATGCTTTTCCGTGATCCGAGTTAGCTCGATTCCGCGATCGATCAGATTCTCCGGCAGCCCTTTCGTCTTGCAAAGCCGATCGGACAACGTGTGTCCCATGAAACCCGAAAGCGCGATTAGCAGATGTAATGACGCGACGCTGAGCTCGTCGTCCGTCGTATTTATCAGTTCGATCAAATTGTAGCTCGCTTCCGTCTCCTTAACTACCGAAACGATCGTACCCGACGCCTTATGGAACTTGATCAAGCACAGCAGCATCCGGACAAGGTTTATGTTCAGCTCATCGGGGCTCGAGTGTTTGATCCGGTGAATGATGTTGTATACGATGTAGTCCGAAGCCATCGTGTGTCCGTGCGTGCTGACCCGGACGTTCTCGAGATCCATCCCCGACTCGAGTATGTTAGCTAGAATCTCCGCGGCCTCCGTTTTCGAGTCTGTTGGTTCATTGTGGATCGTTCGCGAAAACATCTCCTCGACCATCGTCTGCATTATTCCGGCCTCGACGAGAATCTCGGCGTTCGGGTGGTGACACGATATCTTCTTCAAGGCTTTTAACGCCGCGTTTCGAATCACCGAGTTCCCGCTTTGCACCATCTGTATCAGCGCTGGGGACGCCCTCTCGGCGACGTACGTCTTGTTGTCGGGACCGAGAACGATCTCGGCGAGATAGCTAGCCATCTCGATTCTCATCTCTTCATCGCCTGTTGATTTATCCAAACCTCGACGTTATCGTTATCATTTCTTTCTATAGGATTAACATTTTGAAGCAGAAGTTTTTCGAATTCAATACCTTCGAGTAAACGAGTTAGCAGAGGCTCCCAATGCCCGTTTTCGGCCATTAGCTTGACGTTCTTCGAAACGCTCGCCAAGTTCGTCAATATCGCTTCGGCCGTTTCCGACGCGAACGCGTCGACGGATTGCTTGTACTTGATCGTGATCAGCATCAGAATACCTCCGGTTACCGTCCCGATCGTCGTACAAAAGTACGGCGACTTCGAGAGCTCGAGGAGGAGCGAGGCAGATGCGTGACGAATGGGTTGGTGGCTGCTCGACAGCAGTTTTATTACAATCGACGCGTCAATCGTCCTGGCAATGTCGTCCTGTGAAGATCGAGAATAAACCTTAAAAACAGTTCATGTAAAATCGAGCCAGTTTTCGTAGGTACCTTTCCCTCGTCATCGTCCTCCGCCAATTGTCGAACTAGTTCCAGCGTCCCGAGGCGTATGCTTCTGCTTCTGTACTCGAGGAATTTCCCAAGCAATGGAACGATTCCGCTGCTTCGAACCTGCACCTTATTGTACGGCTTGCTCCGGCAGACCGCTTTCATATCGTTGATCGCTTCGAGTACCATGTTGTCCGTACTCGCCAACGACAGTGCTGCCCGCGCAACCTTAATTCTCGCAGCCTCGTTTCTTTCCTTCCATTCGTCGATCGTGGCTTTCAGAGCTACGTTCGCGCTCATCGCTCTGCTCGTCATCGTCTTGCTCGATTTCGGACAGGTAATCGACTCGGGATCCTTAGCCTGATTGAACCATTCGGTAATAGCTTCCCGCTCGTACGTCACTCCTGTCTCCACCGTCACCGGATCCTCCATGACCCGCTTCGTTAATGGGCAGAAGAATGTATCGTAAAGAGGCTCCATGTACTGCGCCAGCTGCGGGATCGCCATCAACGACGATGCCGCACTCTTCGAACCGAATCTCTCGAACCTCCTCGGAGACCTTTCTTGATTGTCGACCGAATACGCCGTCGATGTGTCTGAAAACACTTCGTTCATCGACGAAACCTCGACGTCAACCGAATATAGATCCTTCTCGACTCTTCTTTTTCCTTCTCCAACCGCCGACCTCGTCGGGAACTTTTCTCTTACATCGAAACTTCGAGACGGGCTAAGCGCGAACGAGACGTCCTTCATGTCTTTCGACAGCGACTTTGCGGCCATCTCGGCGAATTCGTGCTCCCCGAACATCGTCAGCGGGATCATGCCGAGGTTTTCGCCGATGCTTCTCAGCACGCCTTCGAGCTGCCGCACGATGGTCTTAACCTCGGACGACTGTACGTTCTTCTCAAGATTCTTGGCGAACCCTTTCGCCAGCTCGACTCGTTTGCTTAGCAACTGCAACATCTCGATTGTGTTCGTCGGCGTGCTCCAGTTTATGTTCAGCTCCATTATTATGAGTGACGCACGGTAGAAGTAGCAGCCAATTTCGGTGAAGACATCCTTCTGTATCTTTATGCAGACGACTGATCTTATAATGTCCGAAATTGCTGCTATCAAAGATTGAGTAAGACTGCCCACTGGATTCCTATCTTCCATCAGCTGAAACAACAAAGAACGTCGTCGTAACTAATCGAATTAGAACAACATCAGAAAGATCGATCGAATCCATGATAAACATACACAAAGTTCAGACTTATCGAATGATCCTTCTCGGCAAAGAACATTGCACTCATTGAATTCGAACATCAGAAAGATCGAATTCATTACAAACATATCATCATTTATGGAACGAATTCGAACGTCAGAAAAATCGAATTCATTACAAACCTATGCAAAGATCAGACATATCAAAAGGATCTAATTCCTTACAAACTATCTAATAACTCTTTCCAGCAAAAAAGCATCGATCCCTCATCGAATTCAAGCACCAGAAAGATCGAGTTCATGACAAACATATGCAAAATTCAGACACATCAATGATCACACGAACTCAACGCATCCAAAGTCGACGATCAGGAAGTACCTGCGACCATTCGGTGCTGCTGGTTGACATTTCTGCAGGCAGACAAGAAACTCACTACACGAAACTCCTTTTTCCGAACAGTTAAGGTTCTTACATCCTTGAACCAGTCTTTCCCGGCTCCCGGGTGACATTCGCAGGTCGTTTTCGCGCTATCGTCGGAAACTCCTGCCACTTGATGAATAATAAGCTCTCTTTGTTTATCTAACATAGATAGACTCAGTCCTGTGTCTTTATTCAAACACTGAACTAATAATCAAAGACTTGGGCATTATTTCTGAATAATTTAGTAAGAAATAAGCACCAAAATCATTGAGTCAACTTGAACATGTCTTAGGTTGCTACAATTCAATATAATCAAATAAACAAAACAACAAAACATCTACCAATAAAAAAGCATATATATATATATATATTGAAATACAGGAGCTTTCATTGAGCATATGTCTTCATCAAAATTTGTGAACATATAATAATAATGATACTAATTGCTGTAGAAATTCTGACTACTTTGTGGCAATTGTACCTAATTTACTCGTTCCACGGGTCACTCTCAGTTCTCACTTCAGATGGTTCGATGACTTGAGTTTCCGATCCGTCGTCGGTGTCGTCTGCTTCCGCACTTTCCGTCGATTCTTCTTCTGCTTCATTGTCTTCATCCTCGAACCGGCCCCACCTTCCTCCGAGTGCCATAGCCATCATTTCGTAGATTTTGTTGCCGAGCTCGGCAGGGCTGTCCGGCTGTGGGTTTGACGAGATTAGAGGCGCATTGAAAGTAATAAGAATTCAATCTTATATATATAGCTTGGTTTATACTTACAGTAAAGCCACTAGAGATCAAGGCAGTGTCGAATAGTAGCTCAACAGCCCTCTTGGCATCAGTGCTTTCCGGTGCGTTCTTGCACGCCGCCTGTAACAGTATAAGACGGTAATATCATTTTTAAAAGCACCCCATTGCGGTTATAGAATTTTATTTTCGTAGGAAGAACATACGTTGAGATCTTTCACAATTGGATGGTCGGGATTTATCTCCAATATCCTCCTTCCCCTCATGAATTCGAGGCTTGTAGTGTCTCCGAGCGTCTGCGCTCTCATCAATCTGTTACGACAAAAATCAAACAATCAAGCCCATGCATATACATATATATATATATCAAAGATTTATATGTGCTTCAATGGTGGACCTCTCCATGTTCGCGGACCATCCGAATTTTCCAGAAACAAGTACACATGGTGACGAGCTCAAACGTTTCGAGACTTGCACTTTAGCGACCTTATCGCCGAGCTGCTGTTTAATCCAATCACAAAGGAGATTATACTCTTGCTTAGTCTCCCGCTCCTTCACCTCATCCTCGTCCCCTGTGATAAATACATTCATACGATTAAAGCATCCGACAGAAATCAATCAAACAATCCTTTTTTTGAGGCTAGGGATAGGTTGAAGTTAGCTATGTCAAGGCACTACTAACCAAGCTCAAGATCCTCCTTGCTAATGTCAACGAATTTTTTTTCCTTGTACGTCTGTAAATTCTGGATGGCTACTTCATCAATAGGCTCGATTAGGTAAAGCACCTGCACAAAAAACACAAATTGAGTCACTAAAACTGATCCAGAGCGAGTAAAAAAACCAAACAGAAGCTATGTTCAATTTATTCAAGGGAATCAGCCAGCTCGTTTCTAACAAGAACTAAATTGTTGTCAGTATAAGAAGCATCCGTTAATCCAGATTGACGAGTACCTCAATATCTTTCTGGACCAATTTTTCCAAGAAAGGAGCTGACTTGGCACTTTTTAAACTGTCCGTAGCCAAGTAATAGATGGCATTTTGTTTCTCACCCATGTTCTCGACGTAATCATTCAAACTTATCGGCTCTTCCTCACTCTTGGAAGAGAAAAACCTCAATAGCGGGGTTATCCTCTTGTGATTCCCAGTGTCTTCAATGCATCCCAACTTCAAAAATCTCCCAAAATTTTCCCAAAATTTCTTGTAATCCTATATGATAACACCAACACTCAATAAGTGCATGCCATTTTCTACATGAAGAGAAAGAGAATAATCGTGCACATCATCACTACCTCTTTGTCCTCGCTTTCAGCGAGATCTTGAATCATGTCAAACGTCTTCCTAACCAGTCTCTTTCTCATTATCCTTACCTGTGCATCAAGAACATAGAATAAGGTAACGGCTTACTTTCATGAATATAATGAAATACCAGTCGTAGGATAAAGGTAAGGTCGCTCTTACAATTCGACTCTCCTGAAGGATCTCCCTTGAAACATTAAGAGGAAGATCATCCGAGTCCACCACACCCTTCACAAAGCTCAAGTATCTTGGGAACTGCAAATTAGTTAGATCATCTCAACAGTAAGTCAAACACATCTTTATAGATTTATAAGTACAAAGTGTGATCTTAAAAGGAAACATTAAATCAAATAAATTGGAATACACACACGTCACATAAAGATAACACAAAGTTGAATTATACTCACCAGCTCGCCGTCAAAATCATCAGAAATGAACACACGTTTAACATATAAACGGATGTTTTTGGTTTTGGGATTGATAACCTCTTCATTGTTAAGAGGTGCCATTCCTGGAATATAGAGCACGCTTCTAAACTCCACCTCACCCTGCAAGAATCTTGGTCAATACAAAGCAAGACGTCGCAAAGTTTCAACAAATCATTTGATCTCAAATACCTCAGTAGTAAAATGGCTATAGGCTAGTGGATCCAAAAACTCATTGAATGTCTTCTTGTAAAATTCTTGATACTGCTCCTTTTCGACTTCTTTTGGACTGCGCATCTGCAATATCATAAAAGGAAACATGCAAAGTAAATTTCAGCCATTCCATAAACGAATCATAATAGGAATTATTAATAGATGTGGGTTGGGGCCTCACCCAAATAGGTTTAGTTTCATTGGCTAATTCCCAATCCCAGTACTTTTCAGTTTTGGTTTTCTTGGTCTTCTTCTTCTCTCCCTGGAAATAAAACAGCACCCAAAAGGAAAACGTTATCGCCTTTACCTTCTCAGACAAGAAAAACAAATTTGGAAGTTTAAGATACCTCAGGCACTTCTTCTCCCTCCTTTGGTTCTTCCTCTTCTTCTACCTGCCGTTCCAAAATAATTATTGTTAAACAGTGGAAGCACGTAAAAAGTTAACCAAAGCAAATGCAATAAGGAAAAGGGGTCATCACTCAACAATTTAAAGATCTGCTTTGGAAAACAAGGAAACTGTAATAAATTTTCGTGTAATATCAATGCACACTAGCATCTAATGACAAATAATACACACCGTAGCTTTGGCTATATATACTCAGCCTATATATATACTTATGGTTATATTTGAAAATAAGTCACATTTTGTAAATAATTTATCCACAACTAGTAGAAAATACACAGTAAAAGTTCAACCTCAATAGTTCTTGACTTTTCTTGCCACGTGTAAATGGGGAAGGAAACAAATTGTGAGTAGTTCTTGACCAAACTCTGAATCTTCGTAGGCTCCGAGAATTCATATTTGTCATCCTCCTGCAAGATGAACATAAAGGATTTTAATTTGCAATAGCACTGCTATAGGAAAACATAATAATTAAACACAACAGCATAAGAAATATCTCGTAATGCACATGCCAAAAGTTCGTGTTTCAAAAGCATCCTCCATACTCAATTTGTGCACATTTTAACAGGAAGTAGAAAAAGCAAGAATCCATTTGAGAGAAAGTAAATTTGGCAAGGAATAAATGATCGAAAAATACCCTCAGATAAAGGGTGATTTGAGTGCCTCTGCTTAGGAAGTTCTCGGGGTCAGTTTCTTCCTTTATTGCATAGGAACTGCTGTCAGCAGAACCCTCCCAAACATACTGCTTATCGGACCTGGGACTCTTTGTTGTCACAACCACCTGGAAATAAATGAAAATAATGCTTGAAACAAATCAGCAGTAACAAAATAGAATAGAACATCACAAAACATTTTGTCAATAAATTTAAAATACCCGTTCGGCAACCAGGAAAGCCGAATAGAATCCAACACCAAATTGACCAATCAAGCTATTGTCAGCCCCAAGATCCTTGTTCTCCTACACAAGGTATTAAATTGTTACATTCCATGTGAATAATTGCAGGTAGAAACAAAAGATTTTGAGCAAATTTTAACAAGATGAGACACAGTTACCTTCAATGCCTTCAGAAACCTAGAAGTACCACTCTGAGCAATTGTTCCAAGGCAGTCAATAAGCTCTTCTTTCGTCATACCAATACCAGTGTCCCTGAAAGAACGAGCCTACACTTAGCAACCATTTCCGTTTTGACAGACATGTAAGAAGTAAAGTAGTAAGCTTACGTTATTGTGATGGTTCCATTGTCCGGATCAGGTTTGATCCGAATCTCTAGCTCGCCAGCATCCCCAAGCAATTCAGGCTCAGTCACACTTAGGAATCGCAATTTATCAAGAGCATCACTAGCATTACTGCACGAAAACATTCAAACTAGTCTGAACAATCCCGGCTCACAAAACGTTAGCCCTCAAACAAATGCAAATTCAATCATACAAAAGAAAGTTAAAAATCCACATTGAACATCTCGTTCGTGTATAGCCGTTTAAGTATATGGATTATCGACGTGCATAAAACAATAGTGTATTTCCAATTCCAAAGTGACAAATACTCACCTCACGAGCTCTCGAAGGAACACTTCCTTGTGGCTATACAAACTGTGGACTATCAAATCCATCAAACGACTCACCTGAAAGCAAAAAAATCATTCAACAAGAAGACTGTTAATCATCTGTGTTCCTCAATAAAGGTTTCTCTTTCGATTGTTTAGACCTAAGGCTTCAAATTGCACATTAGCAGTCAAGCCCACACATAATTCTTCAGGCTATTTGTTTTTCATTTCTTGATAATCCATCGAAATCCATAAGCAATCCAGATAAATAATTTCAGAACCGCAATCAGAGAACATAAGATAAGAATTGACAATCCAGAAACCCCCAAATTAATCAACACATTAGCCTCCAATCATTTTCTTCCAAAAACACAAATTCAAGGACAAAAATCCCCATTTTTCAAAAGCGATAACGAAATACCAACCTCAGCCTGATACTCATACAACTCTTCAGCGTTCTCAGGAGCCTCCTTCTCAGCGACGGAAGCAGCCTCACATCTCACCGCCACACCGCTCTCCTTCCGCGTCTTCTTCCATTGCAAGACGCTGCTCTTCAATCCATTACCAGGCAAAAACGCGCTTCTCAACAAACCCCTGTTCATCCTCATCTTCCTGCAACCATTGGCCGAAAACGACGGGTTGCACGGAATTGCAGCGACCGGAACAGAAACCAGACTCCTGCTCAACACAGGCGCCATCTTTCCAAATCCTTGTGAGCTGAATCTGAGCTGAAAATTTCCAATTAGGTGTTTAGGTTGAAGGGGAGCAGAGTGGATAAAGTGAGGAGGCTGGGAACGAGCTTGGTTCCTTTGTAAATGAGAAACCCTCATAGGGTGGATGGGGGGTTTAAGGGGTGCAGACTGGAGGGTTCTAGAATCACGAACGAGCCCGGGCCCGAACCCGAATTAGGGGTTTGGACGTTAGTGATGTAAGAATCGAAAGGCCTGGCGGCTGGCTGCTCTCTACCCTATATCCTCAAATGATGCGTTCTTTTTTTTTTTTTTTTTTTTTTTTTTTGACTTAGCAAAATATCACGAATATTATTAGATCTTTAATTAAGTTAAATTTTACGGATTTGTAGGTGGCGTTTAATCCATATTTTACTATTTATTAAATTTTTATTTTTAAATTTTATTAAATTAAATTAAATTAGTAACATATTATATTCCCACTATAATAAATTCTTTTGAGGAAGTTCAAAATAAATTCAGGTCCGAACTCATAGTAGTATGACCCAGTTCTAACAATAATCAATTTTTGTTTTTTTTATTTCGTTTTTACTTATTAGTTGTAATAAACTTATCATAATATCTCAACTTTAATTTTATACATTTCACTCTTATACAAAAAAATTTCTAAATTTCCGTGTTTGAAAATATTAAAAATATTACACAAATATTTATTTATACATACAACGTGAATTTAAATTTTATTATTCAATACAAAATCCAACTAACAAAATCATAAACAAATACACCAATTTTATTGAATTTCGAGGCAAAACTGTACAAATCCCTTGCGTGGTTTTACGAAATTAAGTCAAACCTTTGTACTATTAAAATTGTGCCCGATGGTGTAGAGATGGACTTGTGATACGATCATTGTTCAAACCAATCCTGACACCTCAAAATTTTGTCTAAGTATGTCACACATGGTTTGTCTTAAAGGTTTTCCTAAAAAGCACCGAAATGATAGCGGTTACGGGTCTCATGTTATTAAAAGAAAATAAAAATATGAATCAAATTTCTTTATCATTTTATAAACTTTATAGGTAATTCCTCTGGCAGTCCATATTTATCAGTATTTTACCCATTCATATTTAAATTGTGAATAAGTTTGAACATATTTATTTCTAAATCCTTATAATTACAAATATGCTCATATTTTCTAAATATAATCTCAAGAAAAAAAAAAAGTGTAATCTACTTGACAGCTCTGTCTCTGTCTAGTTACAATACTCCCAAACAAGTATTTCTGGTGTTAGAGGATTAATTTTACAAAATTTGTTAAATTACTAAACCATTTTTAGATAAGATATAGTTATGCTATTAAAATGATAAATATACTAAAAACAATTTTTTTTTTATAAATATATATGTAATGATATATTTATAATTTTAAAGTAGTTTAATATTATTATTAATATAAATTTACATAGAATGAAAATAATAATACATATAATTAGAATAGAGGTAGTAATAGTTTCGGTTTAAAACTAATACTCCCTTCGTCCAAAATACCAAGTTGCCGTTCTGTACGTCCCACATACCGTGTCACTTTCTTTTTTTTTAACAATGATTACACACTTTAATTTCATTTTAAATTTTAATTTTTTTTTTAAATTTTAATTAAACTAATTAGTTATCTTAATTTTAGTTATTTATATTATAGGATAATTATTTTCACTGACACATTCTTAATTATTTACTAATTACACCGCTCATAGAATATAACGTGTCTACATTGCAGAAGACACTGTATATAATTATGCAATTACTATTTTAAAGTACAATTTTTATTTTTTTTTAAAATCTAATACTTTACAGTATAATTTATAATTTTGATTTTTATAACTACTGCTAAAAGAGAAATATTATATATATAAAAAATGAATAAAATTTAATTTTTATCTCATTTAATATTATAATTATCAATTTTATTATTTGAAATTCTTTTATCTGATCTTATTAAAATTAAATAAAGAATAAAGGCAAGGGCGGGCGGAAGTTGGTTGGGCTGCTGCTGCGTTGCGTACCCACTCAATTCAGGAACTGCGTAAAATATCTCCACTATTGTCCTATTCACAATTTCAGGTTGTCGTCCATCGATCTTTGGTGGTTCGCTGTTGCTGTTGCTGATCGGATCAATCCACGGATTTTTGCGCGGAAAAGTAGTGTTAATCTTCGGAAAAAGGAGCCGCGAGATGAAATCTGGTAAAGGACATTTGGAAGAGGAGGAGGAGGAAGATGACGAATTTGGCGTCAGAAAGGATACCACGCCATCGGCGAATAGCACCAAAGGTGGAAAGGATACACTCTTCTCTTTTTGTTGTGTACTGATGGCGGATTTTTTTTTTTGTTGTTTTTCTACTGTGTTTGGCTATTATTTGGTGTATTAGGTTAAAGGATTACAGTATCGTTCTTGGTTATATGATTTTGGTGATTGATTTGTACGAATTCGTGGAATCAGATGGGAAGAACAACGACAAGGCTAGTGCTATGAGGTCGAAACACTCGGTTACGGAGCAGCGTCGGAGGAGTAAGATCAATGAGAGGTGAACATTTCGTGTACCAGATTTTTTATTATGTGAAAATACTGAATGTTCAATAGTGTATATGGTTTAGTTTCAGGTTTTGCCTTTAATTTAATTCAAGTGTGTTCATGATCTGCTTCTTTACAGATGTGTTGCTTAATGTCTGTGTTATAGGCCTGCCTACAGGGGAAGTTTTGCACCATTTACATCAGTTAATTCAGGTTTTTTAAACTATAGGTTGGAAAAAGATTAAGATCAATCAATTTTCCTCAGTCTAGACAAACAGTCATTTACCTAGGGATGTTTTGAAAATCCAGCTTTAGCTGGAGTCTAGTTGGATTTGTGTTTCTTTCTTATTTGGTTTGTGCTTAGCTGTCTTTTGGATTGTTTGGATTTGAATTATCTGGGGTGGAAAATAGTCGATGTGACGCTTATAGAATTTAGGTATTGAAAATGAGGTTTTTGGGCTGAAAAGGTTTCTCATTTTTTTGTTTTTTGTCTCCTACTTTGAATTGCATAGTATGCAAAAAGGACTTTGAAAACATTAGTGAACAAAGCCCACTTAACACCAGTTCATTGAATTTAGATTTTAGAATTTTTCCTAGAAAATAGCTTATATATGCTACAATATAATGTGGTCATCAATTGAATTATTAATCTGGTAACCTCAACTAAATTCCTGATATGTGACATCCACCTTTTTGAATTATTTTTGCTTCTTGCCTTCTTCAGATTTCAGAAATTGAGAGAACTCATACCACACAGCGATCAAAAGAGAGATACTGCATCATTCTTATTTGAGGTATAGTGATTTATTATAAGATATGCTATGTGTTGTTAATATGCTTGGAAGATTCATTTTTTAAACCCATCTTTACCATCTATTAATTTCTCGATGTAGGTGATCCAATATGTTCAGCTCTTACAAGAAAAAGTACAGAAGTATGAGGGATCATACCAACCTTGGGGTTCAGAACCAATGAAGCTAATGCCATGGGTAAATCTCGACATGTGACTTATGATATGTATTATCATTTTTGTTCTTGATTATCTAGTAGAAGAGTTTCCTATATCTTCCTGTTGTAGATAAACACCTGGGTTGAATTTGGCTCACTTCCTTGATACTCTTTTGTATTTTGTGTTAGTTAGCAATGATTTTTAGTTATCACTTTGCCAATAAAGAAGAAGTGCCCGTTAAACCTTAAGCCATATATGGGATTTTACATAATCAGAAACAAATTTAACTAGTTATTTACTGCTTACCTTAACGGCCTCTTTGAATTGTTTACCCGGGGTTTGGTTTTCTGTTTTGGTTTGAATAGTAGTTTGGATGTGATGTTTTGTGTGAGGAAATAATGTATTGGTTGTGTGAGAATATAGGGTATTTTTATTGGGAATCGTGAGGGTTAGTAAAGATACTGAAACCAAACTCCAAGTAAACATGGCCTAAATGTTTACTTTTGAGGAAAGGAACTCAAATATAAGCTGACTCAGCTGCCCATTCTCCTATAGATCCCAGAGAAAGAACAATATAACATTATCATTATACATGGTTGATAAACTCCAATGTGAACATATGCAGTTGCTTGCATTTAAATTATTTTGCTTTGGTTTGTGAGGCAATAAGCGATCTGGGCTTATAAGGAAAGCATACATAACTTTTTTTTTTCTGCTTGGAGTAGAGAAACAGTCAATGGCGGGTTCAAAGTTTTGTTGGTCAACCACAAACAATGAAGAATGGTTCTGGTCCTGGTGCATCAAGTCCCGGAAGATTTGATGATCGCATTGCAGTCGCTACAACCATGCCACATGGTCAGCAGAATCCCATTGAATCTGATCATCTTAGGGATGTCCCTTCTAGAACAATAGATCTGCAAACCGAACTTCCTAACAAAGTAACAGGCGTACCCATGCCTCTGCAGACTACCATGGCAGTTCCCATTGCAAACAATGATGCATTCTCCCTCACATTACATGGACAACCTTCGGATCCACAGTCAACGAATTGCCCTAGTGCTGCTGATAATCTAAATCATCAAGATGAATTGACAATTGAGGGGGGGACAATCAGCATTTCAAGTGTTTACTCTGAAGAGTGAGTTGTTCTATTTACATATTAGCCATTTTATATTCATGTTAGATTTTTTTCCTAACTTCAATTGCTTTTACCATGCTTCACTTGAGTACTATAACCTGTTGGTATGTTCATTTTTGGTTTGTCAACCACTTTTGTTTTTCTCTTTTAAACACTTTTCTTGGAAGTCTCTAATTAGGGTGTGCTTCTGTGATTTTGCTTTTGTTTTGTACTTCTTGTTATGATATTTTTGAGGTGAAAATAATTGTTTTGTATGATGTTTTCTAGAGAAAATGGCTGTTGTATGTGACTTTTTTAGAGGAAAAATAAAAGATTAATTTGTAAAAAAAAAGGTAAATAAATAAATAAAAGGGTACACCCTAACTTTAGCTTTAGACTAGAAACTAACTGGCAGATTTGTCAGCATTTTGCAACCTGAGTTTGATTAGCAATGCATTTTTTGGGTTGTTTACCTAATTCTTATAGGTGTTATTTGTGAACATAACAAAGGGTTGGCCAACTTAAGGGATGCCAATTGTTCACCAATCAAACAAAAATCGGAAAGGATGGGCTTACTTTGATTAACCTAAGCATGCAGATGTATATTATTTATAAAGTAAATAGTTAGATGATCAGTATTTGATTCCTTAATATTATAAATATAAAGCAATGTATTTTATAATTGAAGGCAATTAGACAGATACTAAGACTATTGATATCTGGATGTTAGGAAATTGCTATTATTTCCATGCTTAGATGTTTTCCTTCTCATCTATATGTTCTCTTATATGATTTGTTTGGGTTTGGAATTACGAAGGATACAGCTACATGTTTATGCAGACTTTTTAAATTTTAATGAACCAAAATTTTGGTTTGGTCTAAACTAAAAGAACACACCCTCCAGCCTTTGCTAACTTATATGTTTGAGGACCCGGTACCTTATTTTCCAGTTAACTTGATTTTCGTGAAACAATTCATGCAAAATACTTCTTACGAATTTGATCTGATAGGGTGATCTTGGAAGAAATCCGTGTAGCCATTATTTATTTCTTAGTTGGCTTTTCTCTCGTAAGCCGAAGGATTTGGGTTATCAGGAAATTTTCCTAATGTAGATGTATTACTCACTCAGTTTGAATATGTATACACTTACTCCAACTTGTCGCTTTGGGGGTTGACAGAAATGTTTGTATGTTTAAAGTGATGTCCCTTTGTCGCTTTCTTCTTTAAACTTTACCTTACATACGTTTTGTATTTTCTTTCTGGAGCCCTTTACAGTTTGTGATCTTTGCTAACAAGTTATTGCGTCGCTCAGGTTGTTGAATTCACTGGCACAAGCTCTCGAGAGTACAGGTGTGGATCTGTCTCAAGCCAGGATTTCGGTCCAAATTAATCTTGGAAAAAGAGCAAACCAAGGATCCCCCACAGGGATATCAGTTCCGAAGGTACGTAGCAATACTTGCAATTCTTCATTTTATTTGGGATACTCTGAACTGGTGATTATAATTCATGCATTTCCGCAAGTTTCTCTATTAATATTACCTCACAAAAGGATATTTACTACACTAGGAACATGCTATCCCTATGCCTGCCGGCAACGAGCCAGTCGGGAACTTTCACGCTGCCAATAACAGTGCAGATTTAGATCGAGCTCAAAAAAGGCAAAAGATTTGAATAATAAGGTACCTTTTTCGACTAAGTTGTTTCATTGTATATGTGCTGTTTTGAAAAGTGTGGGTTCTGACATCATTCAGGCTTTTTATGTTCTTGTAGGAGGGCTTTGTTTTTTTTCTTTTTTCTTTTCCCCCTAATTTATGTGCTGTTTCATAAATGCTAAAGTAGCGTACAATGTAAACATTACAAAGTTCAACTGCTTAGGTTTATGATCAGAATTCTTGAACTGGAAATTGTTTGGGACATTGTGAACCTTTACTTGGTTTACCTTTGTTCGTTGTCTATGTTATTAGATAAAAGACATGTTCATTAGTATAGCCTAAATGACTAGGCTTTGTGCATGGTAGTGATTGTTCGAATCCGAGCAGCATTGACATCATTGAAAAATGACCGATATACTTGTATTTGATAAACCTGAGTAATAATGCTAATAGAGTAAACGAATAGCGTAACATTTTAATTAATATAGCTTAAGCAAATATGTGTTGTGTGCAGTAGTGATTGCTTCGAATCCGAGCAGCATAGACATCGGTGAAATTTGAAAAAATGACCGATATACTTGTTATTTGATAAACCTGAGTAATGCTCATAGAGTAAACGAATGGCGTAACATTTTAATTAGAATAGCTTAAGTGAATATGCCTCGTGTGCAGTAGTGATTGCTCGAATCCGAGCAACATAGACATCATTTAAAAATGTCCAATACACTTGTTAGTTGATAAACCTATCGACTGTGGTGATTGCTCGAATCCGAGCAGCGTAGATATCATTGAAAAATGATCGGTATACTTGTTAGTTGATAAACCTATCTGAGTAATGCTAAAACAGAAGGATCAGTACTGATTACTTAGGTCCTATTCCTAGTTTCAATTGCTTTCATCAGAAAAGCATATTCATAAGCTGTTTCTAAACAATGAGCATAACGGCCACCTTCGCCGAAGTGCCCCCCGGCCATATCTGTCTTCAGTATGACCGAAGAAGAACAGTCGGGACATGATATATCTCGAATCTTGGCAACCCATTTAGCAGCTTCCCAAACACCGACCCTGAGGATACATGAGTTGTTAGATGAATCAAGAACATTTGGTTTAGACCATGTAAGAAGGGAACAACACAATTTCATCTATGTATTAGAAAGGATGAATTACCGTGAATCATTGAGTGACGCTGAAACAAGCATCGAAGGACAGCAAAGTCCCGGAAGAATGTTGTCGTAAGGCGAGTACTTACGAATGTGCTCAAAGTAGGACTTCACCTGAGGATTCCCAAACTCTTCGTAATCCATAGTTGTAAGAGGTAAATTTGGATCCAATAGCGTGTTAAGAACATCAAGAAAAGGAGCCTACGATCAATAAAAGAAACATAACGAGTTAATGAAACATTAAGCGTATCGATAACGCGCCCATACGACAACTTTATCGATGAAAACTCTTTTTTCTTCCATCCATAAACATAGGATAAAATTCTTTCAATTTATTGAGGTGAATACCTTCAAAATGACAGCGCGAAACAATTCTGGCTGCATATTGATGGCTGCTCCAACAAGAACACACCCGGCGCTCGTACCCACAGCAGCCAACTTATTTTTGTCGATAAGGCCCTCATTGATGAGATATTCTCCACATGCTATAAAATCTTGTATGGAGTTTAACTTGTTCAATCCACGACCGGATTCATGCCAAGAAGGATCGGGGCCAGCACCGCCCCTTAACCAAGAAAGCATACAAAATTGTAGTGAGACGACAAGTTTTTCGGGAGGATTTCATGCTTCGAAAGTTAAAAGACAACATTAACATCCACAATTTTCGTATCCAACTATTTGAGAATCTACTCAAATATAGAATAGTCGTCCGAACTAGGCAAACGCTCCCTGAAATTATGCATTTTAACACCAAAAAAATCTTCATTATAGAGCGTAGAACTTGCAAATTTTCAGCTGGCTGTTACGGGTTTTAAAGGAACAAACAATAAACTACTCTTGTATACATAAAATGTAGATTTGAGATTTTCTAAAAGGAAAGGACTCGGGGCGTACCTTACATCTGAGAAAGCAAACATCCAACCGCGATCAAGTAAGCTTAGTCTATCCGGATACCAGCTTTTATCCAAATTTTCACCATAAGCACCGTATCCATGAAGAAGTGCAGGAGACTGTCCCTTTCGATATGCACTTCGCGAGAAGAGAATGGTGAGTGGTATATTGACACCGTCGTGTGAAACCACTTCCTTAACTTCGAAGGCGTATTTCTCAGAGAAATCCTTCAACTTACAATCTCCATTGTCGTAGACACCTTTCTCATTGTATGAGGTGTCTACCTGCTTCTTGGCGTCGTGGTCATAAGTAGAAATGTAATCTATAGTATCACTATGCAATACATTTCTCACGTCGTCCTGCTGAACCACACAGAAACTTTCCCTTGACATATCATAGTCGACAATGAGATCAGGGGTCTGCACATTAACAAGATACACGAAATTAGATGGTTCCGGCTCCATTTTAGTACTTCAAAAGTTCAAATATGAGTTTTCTCGAAAATATGAACAATATGATTAGGGGTTTTCTCATTGGTGTGTGATTGAAAATCATACCACGGGTGATGAAAGTACAGCACGGAATACAGTGTTGTTGAAGTCGTGATTTGATCCCGGTGTCAACGTGCACAGAGTTGAGGGTAGAGGAAAATACCAAGGATTCAAATCATCAATTAACATTTCCTTCTGCAACACAAATCACGATTAGAGTGAAAATATACGAGTAGAAATTAATAAAAAGTCTTCACTCTCACGTATGATTCGAAACAGGGACTTGTTCCGACAAAATATCAAACACTTAATTGTTCTGAATGGTGATGCCAACTAAAGTTCTCGGATTCTTTCAAGTTAACTAGTATTAATCCACAAAGAAAAAAGGTTATACCTCATTTTCGAAATTAGTAGGAATGTTGATAGAACATATTGAATGGAAGCCTGCCCTGTTTAGGAAAAGGACCAAATGTCCGCGAAAAATGTCCATATCTTCCAAGCAAATACCTTCACCGGGTGCAATAATATTCTGAAAATGAAATAGTGAGAGTTAATACCTCAGAGTTTATATCTATAAACCCGACTAAGAAAGAGTGAGCTTGCTTAGCTCGATTCTTAAGATAACTCCATAGGACAAGTTTCAGTGTTATTATTACGCCTATTAATCAAATTCATGTTTAACTTACTTATGTCTATCGTGAAATATAGCATTAGAATGCGTATGGAAATCTCGAAACAGACGCAAAAGCATTAATTTTATCGATCAGGATTAGAGCAATAATAGATCATCCCCAAGGTATATGTTTCTGAAACATTCAAAAGATTTCGCCATTGAAATTTTCCCAGAATACGTGTTGATATTACCTTTAGTTTATCTGAGTTTGCATCCTCATCTCCACACATGGCTATGTAGTAACCATTATTCGAGGAATTTGTATGCGTACTTCTCGGTGCATTAGTAAGGACATAGAAAAAATTGTCATGATGTTCCAAAAAGTACTGTACTCCGGAAGCACGTTTGCAGAACTTTTGCAGCCTCGACTGTGGATTAGTCGCATCTATAATATAAACCTGCATTTTAGCAACAAAATGATAAAACTAGGCAAAGATAGCTTTACAATTCATGGTAGTTAACACAAGTAGACGATAGTCGAAATAGTTCCTTCCTCAGATGAAGTCCTTGAACTAGAATTCACCGTCACAAACTTGCCGTCCTTCATACTTGTAATGTCTAGGCAAAATCGAGAATCATTTTCGGTAAATATTGTAGAATCATCCTCATAATTTGATCCGACCTTGGTGCATAACACCCTGATAGCCAAATCCACTTCTATAAGAAAGCAAGATGGATTCCAAAACAACGTAATCAAGAAATGTTTATACATTACCTGTTTGGCCGTTGATTTTGATCGACTGTAGTATAAAATAAAGTATTGCTATCCTCGGCCCAGGCTAAACTAACAACACCTTCAACTCTCGGCCGTGAGAGAATAGTGTTACTTCGAAGATCCTTAATCTGCAGCTTAAACTGTTCACTTCCTGTTGTGTCGAGTGTATATGCAAGAAAATTGTGGTCGGGCGATACTTTGCACGTACCTACATGTACATATCCTACAAAAGTAGATACTATTTTAGCACATAGGTCGATAACTAAAGAGCAATGCATCATGGATTCACTTTGTCGATAATAACATAGGTTCAAATCGCAAAGGCAAATCCTTATAACGGCATTAAGCTCTCAACATGTATTATGAACTATACGGCAAGAGGTCAAAAATTTTATATTTCCTTGGAATACTTACATCACAAAAATACACGGAAGAATTGACGATCTTAACATTACCCGTGAAGAGATAGCTAGGTCAAGACGCGGAACAATAAAGTTTATTTTGAAAGAAACACTATCGTCACGGAAATGGTAGAAAAATTTCGCTAATCCAATGAAATAGGTTGCTATTAGTATTCATTCAGCATGGTGTCGACAGTACCTCAAATATAAATGAACATCACATGAAATATAAATTAGAAGCACAGTTAAGATTTGTGTTAATATATATACAAATTCGGCATATAACTGACAACATATGACAATATTATACACAAAACACATGATGAGAGTTAATTGAAAACATGTGCTGCTGACAGTCTATTTTTCATATGTCTGACTCTTGATCAGCACCTTAACTGTTCCATTGAAATATAGTACGCCGCCATTGAAATATAGTACGCCGCAAGTCGTAAACCCGAGCCATCAAACATATATATAGGCACAGTTCTTCAATTAGGGATATGCAAAATTACTAATTTCCGATTTACCACCGGTTAGATGATATAAACAACCGTCTCATTTAAAAATTTAAATTGTTAGGAATACACATCATTTATTTATTTATCTACAAACCGGAGTCCACCACCACACCCCCTCACATGCAAGGGAGATAAACGCAACCAAACGAAATTTGCACGTAGACAATGACAAACGGAGGACGGTGGAACACAAACTCGAGATTAAGGCTCGGATACCATGTTAAACGATTAAACAACCGTTTCACCTAAAAACTAACTTTTACCCTAAACCCTAAGGACGATCATTTACATCATCTACCACCAACCCTATTCCTATTCCGAGTTGAATTCGATAATTTGATAATTCAACAGCATTCCTAAACCCTAAAGCCTTGAAGATTATTGAGTAAAAAACAATTTACCATGCTTTTCTGCAATCTCATTCAAATCAAGCATAACCTGTTCCTTTCCAAATCCTCTGAACCTATCCAACACTCTGTATACCCAACCTTTCTTCTCCACAGATAATTTCCTGCACAGAACAGGATACTCCTTCCCCTCGGGAACGCTCTGGTAATACAACCTGTTCCATCCAAATTTCCAAATTGCATCATATTCAAAGGTACGATTCCGTCGAACAAAACTTAGAAATTACATAAATACCATACCAGGATCCCCAGCGTTGAGGCGGCGTGGAAATGCTCGCCGGCAATCTGGAAACCATTTCTGTATAGAGAGTCCTCTGTATTTCCTCCGTGTCTCGCATAAACGCTTCCGCGTATGAGTTTTCGTCGTTGAGGTAGTTGGTGAAATCTGGATCGTTGATGTTTGACATCCAACGGTAAGGATCTTGCCAATCGACGCCGTGCGCGGTTGCTTTGGAAAGCACCTTCTTCGCCGGCGGCGACAAGAGATGCGGCGCCGGCGGTGAGGAGAAGTGTTCGCTCTTTCTGCAGCGAGTCGAGAAAAGCGGAGGTGATGGTAGGTTGGGGATTAGGTTGTGGAGTATGGATTGGTAGGTTCTGTTTGTCTCCGTCGTACGGAGGAGAAGAAGCCGCGCCGCCATGGAGATCGACGGCGACGGCGGAAATGGCTGCCGGTGGTTTGATTTCGGACCACCAGGAGGTCAGTTCTCGGTAGCCTGACAGGTATTTAATGGGCCGTCCCCTCAAAAAGCCCATTAAGTTATATTTGGGCCAATTTTTAATTTTGAGAGGAAATTATTTAACTGCAATCTAAATAAATATTTTCTTTTTAGAAAAATCAACATTTAAACTTTTTTCTATACCATTATTTCCTCCAACTGTTTGAAGGATTATTCACCCAAATTTTTTCTATAAAAAAATATCACACATATTTTTTATTTTTTATATTATACTAAAAATTAATTTTACATTAAAAATCTCACGTCAATTCATATTTATATCACATCATACAACTATTTCAAATCAAATTTTTACTATTCAAATTTCAATCCAAAATTCAAAATCCAAACTCCCATACAAACACTATCTAAGTAGAATTCATGATAATATCAATTCAATGTATATTTTTAATATTTTTGTCTTCTCGCTTAGAAGTATAATTATTTTATTAGAATAAAAATCATTTATATATAAATAATAAAATATTATTAATTTTTCTATACTTATTATTTCTTAATTTAATATTTATCTGTTTGCCTTTAAGGTAACATTTATTTATTGTACTCAATATTAATTTTTTTTATGTTTATGTAATTTCTTTTTTATAAATGTCGTTGTATTAATATTATAAGATACTAATCAAAATATTTTTGCATATTTTTTTTAATTTGTACTATATTTTAATATAATAATTAATATTTTGATATTAACACGCAAAAAATAATTGTGCTGCCAAACAAAAATAGTATTAAAAATAAAAAATGTATTGAACTAGGACAGAATGGATATTTTATTTCTAGTTATCTCTTACATCAAAAAATATATACATATATATATATTTATATGTTTATAAAATATCTAATTTTATAATATAATTTATATAATTATATAATGTATTACATATTTTATTAAGAAATTACTCATAGTCCCGTATAATTATACTTGTTTGATCACAGAAACTACAATAATAATATTTCATTGTAAAAATAAACAAATAAAATAAAAATATAAGAAAGATTTTATTAAAAATTGATTAGAATATTTTTAAAATAAATACCGACAAATTAGTTATTATTTATTATAAATGAATTATACATAAATTTAAAAAAATAAAAATAGCAGCATATGAAATGAATATAGTTCACACTCAAACAAATAAGGTCATTCAAAAAAACAACAAAAAACAGTTATACGAATGGACCAAAAAAATTTCAGACAAATCAACATCCGGCCAACAATATGTGTTCACACAAATTTCTCACAAGAAACCATACACCTAAACAATATTCACACAGACAATGCCATATAATATATATAAATCAAAATAAAAACCAATTTCTAAAAATTATATATATATATTCATGTATATTTTCACTAAAAAATACCTACGCCGGCAGCATTTCCGATCAAAATCTACAGCAAAAGAGGCCTGATCTCCAGCACCGCTGTTTCCGGTTCGCCTTTGCCATCCTCACCGGACTACTGTTCCACTCCGACTGCAATCTGCACAACCACCACGACAACACCGTCAGCTGCCGGAGAATAATCCGGCGAAGAGTCAGAGATATAGAAAGTTAGCTTACACAGGGAAGGCAAACGATCGCGCGCTCGTCGCACTGCTATCGGATCGATGCGAAAGGCTGCCGGAAAACGGGATCGGCTCCGAGTAGTTGACGAGACTCGCCGTCGAGAAGCTCGTCTCTCCGTCATCCTTATGTAGCCGGGTCATAATCGACGCGCCGCCGCCGCTTCCGGATCTCCGCCGCTCGAGCTTCGGAGCATCCCCCAGCGAGTCGCCGAGTTTTCCGGACTTTTCGTTAGCTTCTTGCTCGACTGTCCCGGGTTTAACGGCCTCTTCGTTTGCGAACGCCGTGGCGAGACTACGAGGGGTCGCTTCTTCGTCGGGAATCTGTCGAATCGTCGAACATATATATAATGAAATACACAATTGCATTTATCAAAATATTTATGTGAAACAATATAATTATTAAAATTATTATTAAATTATTTCTACTGTAATCCAATATAATATTAATATTTTTAAAACTTTATACAATAAAACAAACCATTAACAGATATGGGACGGAGAGAGTATGTAATTAACGATGCATTTTTTTATTAGTTTAAATTTTGAGGTGAAATGATTATTTACCATGATATCAGAACGATGTTTGAGTTATAGTAATTAATAATCTATTTTCATACTAGCTTAAATTTTTAGGTGAAATGATCATTTAACATGCGTACCTGAGGGGGCAATTTCTTAACCGCAATCTCTTCTTCGTCGTCTAATGATTTGAGTAAAGATTTTAGGAGGCTTCCTGTCTCGATTTCCTCTGTCGGAATTTTCTCGTCACTCGGCACCGGGTCCTCGACAAAACGGTCCTTTTGATCGGCGCTAACATTGTTGTCGTCGTCGTCGTCGCCATTCTTAGTCGATGAGATTTCTTCTTCGACCGACGACACTAACATTTCTTTATCGTCTCGGGCTTTCTCAGGCTTCCCGTCATCGACGCATATGTCCTTCACATCGTTATGTTGATCGATCTCTTTGTAGCAAATCTCCGACACATTTTTCTCGGCGATCGTCGAGGCTTCCTCCGTTTCAGACAAATTTGTACACTTCTCGACTGTCGTCGACGATTCATGCTCCCGATTTCTTTGCTCATCCAAACCACTCAGGATATTCGAAACTCTATTTTGTCCTTTTCGGTCCGAATCCACCGTTAGATGATCCGAGCCGTCCATCGAAAGCTCGTTCGCCAATTTATGATTCTGAATCTCATCACTGACTTTCGCATCGCCCGTATCTCGACTAGAATCGTTCGTCTCGTAAATTTCTTTACTTACAAAATCCATTGAATCACTCTCCCTCTGGATTTCACTCATGGTCATGCCGATGAGTCGAACACACTGTAAGAAATTTAATAAATAACAAAAAGCATCGAACATTAGGTTAACGGAATTTTGCATCGGGCAAAAAAGCAGAATCTACGCTAAAAAGCAGAGTAAAATCAGCAAAAGCCGCGGAAAAACATAACAGACTACATTTGCCGAAAAATAAATGTTTCCAAACAAATACGCTGACAACGCTTCCTTGTAATCTTATCCTAAAGTTGAGAAAATACGGCTTTCAGTCGAATCCAGTTGTAAAGTTCTTACAAAGCAACCGATCTTCGAGAATCGAGAGAAACAGAAAACAGGTAAGATCCAGACATAAATCTATATAACACAAAAAGGAAATTAAAAAAAAAAATTCGAAAACCTCATGTAACACAATCGATCAATCTAGATAAAATCATAGTCGAATTTTATCGAGCTGATTCTAAACTCATCGCCAGTCTTGATTACAGCTACAAAGACACAAACAAGGAAATGAACTTTCATTACATCATTAATTTCTAATATACCTCATGTAAACACAATCGATCGATCACAGATAAAATCGTAGTCGAATTTCATCGCACCTATTCTAACCTTATCACCACAATTTCGAAATTCAGTCTCCATTACAGCAAAACACACACAAGCAAGGAAATTAACTTTTATTACATTATTAATTTCTTCAATACCTCATGTAAACACAATCGATTGATCACGGATAAAATTGTAGTCGAATTTCATCGCGCCTATTCTAAACTCATCCCTCAATTTCACATTTCAGTCTCCATTACAGCTAAACACACAAACAAGGAAATGAACTTTATTACATCATTAATTTCTTCAATACCTTATGTAAACACAATCGATCGTTCACAGATAAAATCATAGTCGAATTTCATCGTGCTTATTCTAACCTCATCACCATAATTTCAACATTCAGTCTCCATTACAGCTAAACATACACAAACAAGGAAATGAGCTTTTATTACATCATTAATTTCTTCAATAGCTCATGTAACACAATCGATCGCTCGTAGTCGAATTTCATCGCCCTTGTTCTAATTTCTAACATCATCACCACAATTTTCAAAATTCAATCTCCACTACAGCTACAGACCCACAAACAAGGAAATGAACTTTTATTACATAATCATTAATTTCTTCAATCAAACAACAATGGAGAAAGAACAGAGACAGAAATTCATTTTCCAGCAGCAATTCATTCCTCCATAGAAAAAATCAAACAAAAAAATTATTCTAGAAAAGTAGAAACAAGTAAGCAATGAGGAGCAATATCTATCAGTTTTAACTTTTTCAGGCAAAAAAAAAAAAAAAAAAGAGAAAAAAGAAAAATGGAAATCATCTGCTGTAAGAAGGAGACATGGACAGAGGATTTGAACTTTTGGAATCTTCCCTTTTGTCAAAAGGGTAAGAAGAGGACAAGAAAAGGGTCACCACTTTCCCAACATCCCTTCACAAGCTTAAACTATATTTCTTCAAAAGTCAAAAAGCCGTAATCTCCATTACAGTACATCATATTTGTTTCTCTCTCTCTCTCTCTCTCTCTCTCTCTCTCTCTCTAAAATTCAGATCTAAATAGCGTAGTTGAAGCTTGAATTGAGGAAATTGTGTAATGATTTGAACAAATTGCAATGTAAGGAAAGGAAGAATTAGAAAGATACCTTCTATGTCGGATTAATCGGCAGAAACCCTTCCCATAAAATCCCCTTTCCGAATTTCGATCGATCTTCAATTCCGACAACGTAAACCCTAATCAACCAATTTCGATTGATTAATCGTAGTCGTAGCTGCTTATTACAGATACAGAGGATTCAAATCGAAGCAGACGATACATACATGATATACATATATATATATACACACATATGTAGAGAGAGAAAGGGGACAGAGAGAGAGGTCTGATTTTAACTTGATGAAGGAAAGTTACAAAACAAAAACAATCGGCGATGAATATATGTATATATATGTATGTATGTGTGTATCTATTTCTCTCTCTCTCTCCTACCTCACTCTGAAAGTAGAGAGAGAAAGAGAGAAATCAAAATAGGACAGAGGATCACGGCGATTGACTTTGAGATTCACAGATATATACAAAAACACACAAGTAGACCCAAATAGAGATATAGAGACAAAGAAAACCTCCTTCCAGACAGAATTTCTAGAGAGAGAGAAAAAAAAACACAAACAAAAACAAAAACAAAAATGCGCTGTGAAGCTAGCTGTACCTTAAAATCAAAAAATCAATCATCAATTTCTTACCTCCTCAAAATAGTCAAACTCTCCTCCGCCACCTTACACACACTTATGAACAAAAGTACGGACGCCCCCAACTTTACAGAGGGGGAAGAAGACGAAGGGCTTTTGAGGTTTTGAACAAAACGGCGTCGTTTTGGGCTCCTCCGGCGATTGAATTAGTTATTCTTACATGTAGATCCCTAGAATCATCGGAATCATTAGTTTATGGGATGCGTGTCTGACACCGGAATTGGAGATATATATATATATATTGCCAATATATATAGAGAGAGAGAGAGTGTGTGTGTGTGTGTGTGTGTTTGTGGGGTGAAGAGAGAGAAAGTATGAAATCTGGAAATGGGGGTTTGAGAGGTCGAAGAGATGAAATAAAAAAGCTTCAATCAAAAGGGATCATCCATCAATGTGGAAAAAAGTTTCATTAAATTAAATTAAAATGGAAAATGTAAGAATTGTGAGTGACTGAAACTTTAGCGTGTTTGTTTAGTTTTTATCATTAATATCAACCTAATAAATATTCTCTACGTCCTAATACAATACTCATATTTACCATTTTTTTTTTATTTCAAAACAATAATTTTATTTTCATAAATAATTATATTATCATAAAAGTATCTCTATTTTTTCATTTTTATTACACAATTGTCACTACTTTTTATACTAATATACTCACAAAGACAAAAAAATCTTTTATTCATACTTTTTATCAACTATCAATATAATATCAATATTCTTCAAATAATGTGTCCAATCCAATTAAGACTATAGTTTCGGGACGGATGAAGTATTTTATACTCCCTCATCCCATATTTATGTATATATTTGCTTTTTAAAATAAATTTTAAAAATATTAGTACTGTATTGAGATATAGTATAAATAAAGTATAAAGAATTAAAATAATGTGCGATATAAAGATAATGTTATTTGTGTAATATATTTTAAATTGTAAGATTATTTGTAATATTAGATTGATAATACAACTACTAAAAAAATTAATAAAATAAAAAAATAAATAATTTGTTAAGAAATAAATAGAGTATATTTATTAAAAAAGACAAGATGAATACACCTTTTTGTTTGGTTTGTATAAGTGTATCATTCATTGGTAAGTTCGAAAAAGATTTTGGTTTGTGGTCGATATTAAAATAACATATGATGAAATAATTTGTGAAATAAAAAAAAATATATCTATTTTTTTTAAAAAAAAAAAAAGAATTCAAAAAATAGAATCTTAAGTTATTATTAGACCATCTCCAACCTACTGGGTTGTACCAAAAATGGGGGGAGGGGCTCCAATCCTCCCCCAATTTTTGCAGCAATCAACAGTGTTACTCCATTTTTGGAGTGAAATTTTTGTGGTGTTTTTTATATTTTTGGAGTATTTTTGGTATTTTTTTAGTAGATGATATATAATTTTATATTTTAAAAAGTTGTATGTAATTTTATTTTTTTAAAAAATAATTTATAATTTTATTTTTTAAAAGTGATATAATTTTTGTTTTTGAAAAGTAATATATAATTTTATTTTTTAAATTGATATATAATTTTACTGTTTGAAAAGTGATAATTTTTATTTATTTGTCTTGATAGCATTTAATTATTTATTTAAAATTATTTTATTTGTAATAGTTATTAATTATAAATGTTAATTTTTATATATGTAATTTTTAAATAATTTATAAATTATATGTGTATGGATCTAATGTAAAAATAAATTAAAGTTGGGATGTAATTTATAAATATGAAAAGTTATATAAAATAATATAAAAGAGGAATATATAGGGAATATACTTTTTAGAATAAAAATTGAAGTTTATGGTTGGAGTAAAATTACTGTAGATCAACTGCATTTTTACCGTAGCAACCCAAAAATAAGAGTGGAGGGTTGGAGATAGCCTTACACGTAATACTTCATCTCTTAAAAATAAAAATATTTTATTGGTTATTGATAGTGTTTAAGATAATTTAAAATTTTTGTCTTTAAAAAATATAAAGTAATGATATTTTTTAATTTGTATAAAAATAGAGGTGTTTTAGTATTTGTATATAAAAAATTTTTAATAAAAAAAAAATATTTTTGAATTGGCTAAACGAAAATGGTAAGAAATAAATTTTGAATTTAGACAAAAGAAAATAATATTTTATATAAAATAAAGATATTAAATGTAATGTTTTTAAAGTTATCAATATTTATTTAGATATAATTTGAAAAATTACTCAGGTTGAGTTTTTTAATATATATATATAATATGTTTTGACGTATATTTACTTTAGTTGATATAATTAATAATATTATTTTATTCAATATTATATATTTATTTTAATACATTAAAACTCTAAATTGATTCAAATATATTATAATAATATATTAATTAAAATTTTTTATCAACATAGAAAAGTAAAAATAAATTAATCTCATTAATATTATTAAAAAATATAATATGTACACACATTTGCACAATAATATATTATACTTACAAAAAATAGGGTATGTTTTTTTGGGTTTTGTTTGAAAATTTTTATTTTGAATTTGATATTAAAATAATAATTGAGTGATATTTTGTGATAAGAATATATATATACTGTTAGAAAAACCGTAAAGTTCAAATAGCAAATTTTGAAAATTTTTTATTAAAAAAACAAATCTTAATATAAAAAATAATATTTTCTTTTAAATATTAATATTTTTATAAAATAATAAAATACATATTATGTATTTTTTATAATATTTTTTAATAATATTGTGTCAATTTTTATTTTTTTAAAAAAAAAACACTTTAAATTCAAAATTCAAAACAAACACACCCTAAAATTGTTAGCATGATATTTTAATGAAAGGTAAGCCAATGATGTGATGGTTTTTTTAAAAAAAGATAAAAAATAAATAGTGTGAAATTAAAAATATAAGTAAACAATAATTTATCTACATTCTATATTGCACTTTCTGACTCTACTATTTTTTATTTTATTTAATTTTTTACTTATTAAATTTTTTTATGCTTTCTATAAAATATTACATACAAATTATTATATAAATTTAAATTTTTTAAAATTAAAATGCAAAACTAATACAAACCAAAACACATCTATATGTCAACTTAATAAAAATATTTATATTATATATAAAAATGTATGTAACTATTAACTATAAATAAAAACACTCCCTCCCTCCCAAAGAGTGGTCTTGTTTTTTATTTTCGTCTATTTCAAAATAATTGTCTCGTACTGTGGTTCCCACTTTATAACAAAATATCCCTACTTTTCAAACTACCCATAATTATTACTCAACCTACTTTTTAAAATCATTCAAAAAGTAAGGATATTTTAATCTTTTACATTCTACTTTATACCTACGTGCCAACACCCAATAAGACGTCTCTTTTGGGACGAAGGGAGTATATATAAATATAATTAATACACAAATATGTAATTCTCCCTCCGTCCCGTAATAATTCAACACATTTTTATTTTTGGTAAAAATTATTAAATTAAAACATATTTAATAAATATAAATTAATTTAAGTAACTTCATAACATACAACATCATAGATGACGTAGAACCCACTCAAAACTCCTTTATTTCTATTTTTCTCCTCAATAAAAATAAATATTTTTATCTATATTTAAAACTACACATCTTTTATAAAATTGATTTATGTTAATTATAAATAAACAAAAATATTTTTTCATTTACTTATATTATAGAAGATTTTATTATCTACAAAATTATATTCATATTGCATATATTTTTTAATTGCTATATAATTTTTAAATATTTAAACATATATTTTAATTTTTTTAATCATATATACTCCTCCGTCCCATAACAAAGTATCCATTTTTCTATTTTAGTCTGTCCCATAACAAAGTATTCATTTCCTTTTTTTAGTAACGGTACTATCTACCTAACATTACAAATACCCTTCCAACTTACAATATATTATACAAATATCATTACCTTTATATCACACATACTAACAAGGTTATTTTAGTCATTTATACTTTATTCCTACAATATTCCAATATAATATTAATATTTCTAAAACTATGTGTAAAAAGTAATAGATACTTTTTTTTGGGACGGATGGAGTATTAAATTTACTTTAAAAATATAAATATTATTAATTATATAAAAAATAATATAATAATATCATAACTATTTATTTTTAACTAATTAAACATCCTCGCTTTAAATACTGTGTCCCTAATCAAAATGTTCAATTATGGCGTAACTGAGGGAGTAATAATTTAAAGAAAGGTGTTTTTCTTCAATTTTTAATATTTGTATTTTTTGAATGTGTAAGAGATTAAATTATAAATATTAAAATAAATAGTAACACATATTCCAAAATATGTATTTCTTGAATATATTAATTGATGCAATTTGTGCAACCAACTTCATAATTTAGTGCAAATTGGCTGTAAATTATATAAATCATAATTGATGTAAAAATAACAATATAATTTTGATTAAGTCCACAAAACAATGACATAATTTAATTAAAAAAATAAAAATAAAATGAAGATGATTATTAAATTAGTAAATATATACGAAGAATTCTAACATAATTTTTTATTTTGCTTAATACAAAAATTATTTAACAGCTGTAATGTACAGACAAAATTTAATACATAAAAATAATTAATAATTTTTTAATCATATACTAATATAATACCCTTAACAAGAAATATATATATATATATAGTCCTAATTCAATAAAACCCACTCAACATAGATAGTATGTTGAATATTATTACAAAATAATTATACTTTATTAATTTATACTTTTATCATAAAATTCAATAATTTTATCAAATTAAAATTAATAAATAGGGTTTGTTTAGTTTTGGTTTAAAATTGAATTTTTAATTGAATTTTGATTTTAAA